TTCTCAGAAAAACTCTTCACAAAGTTCAAGAGGTCAAGACACGAAGGCTTTAGCAACTAATCCACACCTAATGACCCACCTAAGTGGTACTCAGGATATCACTCAAGAAATCACTCAAGATATCCCTCAAGTAATTAAGGAACAAAAGAAGAAAAGGCACATTAGCCTGGGAACTTCCTCTCTGCCCAGAACATTGGAGGCTATACACCACACCCCCTCAACAGTATTTATAGGAACTCAAACACTGAGATCCTGCTCTGTTCCAGTAACAAGAAGCCGAAAGCACCAGCCTGAAGATGACGAGTGAGACCTCGTCGAAACGTCGCCTAGACACCCCAACTTTTACACGGGAAGACACCCGAGGACACCAAAACCTGCATATATATATATATATATATATATATATATATATATATATCGCTCACACCTTACTTTGAGAGCACGCTTTGCGGGACCGCACACCGCACCACATGGGACTCACTAGCTGGTTGGACTGGCCCGCCTCCCTGTGCTAGTCATTGGGGGTTCCCACCAAACCCCAGTTAACCTATCAGCACTGTTGGGAGGCAGGGCCAGTTGCATAAATAGGATGAAGAACTTTTCTCTCATATATATATGTGTGTGTGTGTGTGTGTGTGTGTGTGTGTGTGTGTATCTCCTGCTTAATGCCAGAATAGGCTTCGAAACTATTTACAAGTATAAAAACCAATTACACAAGCATTAATCTATAATTAAAATGCACAGTGACACAATCTCAGTAAAACATGAAAATATAAACACTTCTGGAAGTGGAGAGCCTTCCGGGAAGAGGGCATACTTACCCTTCCCTTTCTCCAGCTCAGGATGTGCTAATTTGGTCTGTGCAAAGAAAGTCACTGGGAGAGAACTCAGACACAAGTCAGGCTAAGGTCAGAGAGCAAAAATCAAGCCCTAGAAGCACCTTGGGGTGGGGAATCAGTATCTGCCGAGGTGTTCATGCTGTGAATTTCCACCTATATTCAACCTGTATTATGTGTGTAAAGTGGGGTGGGAAATAGCTCCTTCCCATTTGCCCCCATGTGCCCTGCATCCTCCCTCCATCACATCACTCCTCCTGCAGTTAGTTTGGGGGAATGCCTAATTGCAGTGTGATGATGCTTTGTGGCTGGGGTGTCACAGCTTGGAAAAGGGGGGGGGGTTAACTCTCCCTGTCCCATGCACTGCAAACACCATCCCGCAAATGTAGGATAACCAGCATGCTTAAGTCTTATTAATGCATGAAGGAGTTAATACCATAGATTAAGCTGTCCTGCCAGGCTTAGCTATGTCACTTCCCTTACCTTAGTAGGAAATAGGTAATCAAGTCTATTGTCCGTCCCCCCCAATCTACCTTTGAATTCATTGTGTGAATAAGGTTTGAGCTGGTTGCTCCAGCTCAACTGCATGGCTCTCACCAGCCACTCTTGTGGTCCTGTACCAATAATTTAGGAACTTTACCACTTTGTAACTAAACTAAGTTTTACTAGCTGTGCAAATTTTCTGCTGGTGTATGGAAAAGCACATAAAACAAAACTTTGAAGAGTTTTTTAACTTACCAAACGTGTGGTTTTTTTCCTGTGCTGGGGTGGAAGAGCGAAAATTTTGGAACTCACTTGGAAGGGCATATTTTAAAGGTCTAACAGCCTATATTTCCACACTTTACTGCATATTTTGTGTCTTTAAATCTCTGCTAGGGTTATCTCACCAAAGAGTTTTTGCCCCAAACTTGGATCCTGGCATACAGGATTTCATATATATAGCCAGCTGCTATCTCCAGGAACTCCATCCCCCCTCTAGCATTTATGTTTGAAATCCACCCCCCCACCCCCCGCCACTGGCAATGAGGTTTCTGTTGTGTATGACATTTGGGGTTAGAATCATGGAATTGTAGAGTTGGAAGGGTTTGCGAGGGTCATCTAGTACAACTCCCTGCAGTTCAGCAATATTTTTGCCTGATGTGGGGCTCCAACCCACAACCTTGAGATTAAGAGTCTCCTGCTCTACTGACTGAGCTATCGCACAGGGGTTGCAAGATTCCAACCCCAAACTGCATGGATCAATGCACCACAATCCTTTTTAACACTTTGCCATACTGATCCTCCATTATATCAATGAAAAGAATAGCTTTAATTATTCCCATAATAAATAATACAACTGTTGTTGCTGCTGCTATTCTACTACAAAGTACCTTAGTGGTCAGTGTCAGATCTTGTTCCTAAATCAGTTGCAGGAAATTAAGGGCTATACGTCTTTACAAAAGATATAGGTTTCTGTAAGCATCCTTTAATTCCAGAATGGAAAACCCATAGTCCTCCTGAGGTCCTCCTCTCAGCATGTGCTTTAGCCCATCAAGGTGAAGTTTGTTTTAAGCAAAGGCTCAGTGGAACTTGGTAGCAAGAGCTCATGGCTTTTTTAGGAAAGCATATCACAAGCATATCACCTAGCATGAGAATGAGAACTATTCTTCAGCCAGAACCAAAGAATACCACAGAAAGGTTATCCATTAACCATCATTTTGTTTGAAATGGCGGATAAACGAGTCCTTGATTGCTCTAGCTTCACATTTCACAGTAATCTGTGTCAAGAAAAATGCATGCAGTTGCGATCTTCACTTAAGAATCTCCTGCCAGGAATCTGCTGCGACCCAGTTTGCTTCTGTGTCAATTTGCACGAAGAAAGAACCATTTGGTATAACGGACTCTGGAGCCGCACTATCGTAAGTGCACATGCCTCGGCCCAGGAGCCCCTGGGAATTGCAGGAAAGGCTCCTAGTGTTTCAAATGCAAATGTGACACAAATTATAGATGTTCCTTACGTGAAGTAATTTGGCACTTCATGCTGAAGTTATAAAAGCCATTGTGAAAAGGTATGAGAATGCAAGAACTGCTGGGTTTGGGCTATTCTCTAGGGCTTTTGTCTTGTTATTATTTTAAAAGTTATCATGCAAGTTGTCATAATTTTTCTGGGGAGGTTTTTGTGGGGGTTTTTGCAGCTGATTATGTTTTCCTGTTAAGAAAGCAGATGCACTTTTGCATGTATAACAGGCTGCGTTCAGGAACCTCAGACCTGGGGTCCAAACTTCTGGAGAACCAGTTGTAGCCTCTAGGCCTCTCTTGCTAGCCCTCATGACACTTATAACAGACTATACTCCCTGCCCCTGCCATATCCCCTCTCTCCAGGCCATGGTCCTCTCCTGTCTTGTTGTGCACCCTTCCTCAAGTGCGCCTGTCCATCTGGAGTGTGCTCTTGAACCATCCCCCACAAACGTCCCTGAAAAAACAGGACATCCTGTTTTCCCCCGCGAGAGCACAGCAGCCATTTTGGGCTCCGTGATCTTACACGGGTCATGTGACTCACACAGGAGCATGACCAGTAAGACATGCGCCCTGGTTTTGGGACTCAACATGTTGGAGTTTATGTTGAACTGCCATAATGCCTCTTGCTTACCTGGATACAAAGAATTATACCTCTTTCTCTGCCCACATTTGGACACACCTACATTTTCCCTCTCAGCCTAGGGTTGCAATACATCCGGGATCTCCTGTACATATCCGGACTACTGCAGCCGGCAGCAGTGTCCACTTGGAAATTGGTGAAAATTCGGACATATGGAAGCCCATGGCAGCAGTGCCGTTTTGGCTGACTTCACATAGAAATACCTCGAAAACGTCATTTTTACTTTTTTTGCAATTTAGCCTGAAAAGCTCAACAGCTTTGTCCCCTCCTACTCTCACCCCGCCTACCATTGCTGCAGGGATCCTGTAAGACTATCCAGGAGGAAATGCGGCCCCCAAGTGAAAAAAAGGCTTGCCACCCTTGGCAGCTAAGGCCTCAGGCCCAGTCACTGATATCCCCAATTAAAGTAGTGAGGCTGGAGGAGAGTTGACGTCAGTCACAGTGTCCCATTCTGAAACAGATGGGCCAGTCACCTGCCTTGGTGCAAGGCAAGTTTTTAATCTACACCCAGAGGATATGTCCACAAAGAGCCTGACAAGCCCTGGATCAGTTCTCATAAGGAAAGATTATACGTTGTGCAATGGAGAACAACAGATAAATTCCCCATAGGTCAGTTATGTGGGAAATGAATACATAAAAAAAGAAATACCCAGGAAGCCCAGAAAAATGGAAATAATAGCAACAGTGCCATGTTGGCAACAGCCCAGATGCCAACACAGTAGCCCACACAGTAGCCCACTTATGATATGGCTTAATTGTTTCTCCATTGCTAATAGTTATGTATCTATTGTTGGTTTTGAGTTTCAGTTGTGTTTCAATGGGCTTTTACCTAAAAAGTGGGATAGATGTTTTTCCAAATATGAAATGAATGAAATGAAGGGCAGCTGACAAGAAGCATGATCCAGACTACCAAAACACATCCACATTGTACGTTTTGGTGGACAGCCCCCAAAATTCTGATTCGAAAACAAATGATAAGATATTCTCTTTGCCCTCTCCCCCCCCCCCCTTTATAGAACATGAATAAATTCTTCTTGTTGGTTTGGTTTCCTGTTGGTGCTAGACCAAAGCCCCTTATCAGGTTCTGCAAAGCTGCAAGTCCAACTGAGATTTTTTTAAAAATGATGTTGGGGACACCGGAGCTGGTCCCCAACACTGGTGTTCATGACGCAACTCACAGACTATATAACCATGAAAATTGTTCAGCCCCATTCAAGAAAAACTGAGCTCTACCAGCAGATGAAAGAACAAAGCTGTTTCCCCTTGCAGTTTTAAGCGCTGAGAAAAGGAGGCACCCATCAAACAGAAGCCTGTTCCATTCTGAGCAGGGAGGCTTATGCAACAAATGAACAGCAAGGGCACATACCTTGCTGTGAGTGTCTGGAAAGGCAGCAGGTGTAAAGGGTAAGCAACGGGTGAACCGAAACGACACATGAAAAAAGTGTCAGAATTATACTCACAGTAACAACTGCTTAGGATCTTTACTTATGATGGCGCTGCTTAATTTCCCTCCATACCTTTTCTAGGACGCTCACAGATCTCCTGAAACAGCCAGGAGGACATGGACCATCTGACATCTTGCCAGAGAGCCACATTGGCAGTGTGCAGGTCCAGATTAGCGATGGGTTTTCTCGATCTCCCAGGAATAGCACAGGTAAGATAATCACAAAGTCCTCGGCTGTGTGCATATTAACAGCTTAAAACACAGCTAGACCGTTCTCCTTCTCCCAGCCAAAAATCCAGGAACTGCAATTTGTTAAGGGCACAGTAGAGTGGGGGCAAACTACAGTTCCCATGATTCTTTGGGGGGAGGCATGTGCTTTAAATGTGTGGTATTGTATGCAGCCTGTGTAGGAGAAAACTTTCTTTGTATACAGAATATCCCAGGTTCACAAGTTGCTCATCCAGTGCAGTGTAGTGGTTTAGAGTGGTAGACTCGTAATCTGGTGAACCGGGTTCATGTCTCCGCTCCTCCGTCACACTTCTCTGAAGTCTCCCAGCCTCACTCACCTCACAGAGTGTATGTTGTGGGGGTGGAAGGGAAAGGAGATTGTTAGCCGCTTTGAGACTCCTTAGGGTAGTGATAAAGCGGGATATCAAATCCAAACTCCTCCTCCTCCTCTTCTTCTTCTTCTTCTTCTAGAGGGTTTGGTGACAATTCACACAACCAGTTGGGGGGGGGCATCACCTGGGTGAAACAACCCAAAAGAGGACTTCTACGTACTGGATGTGCAAGGAAACACCTAAGGCTTCTTCCCTTTCAACATGGCAGGGATAGATACCTAGAGTCCATAGAAACCTAGAGACAGCCCCCCCCCCACCTCACGTCCTTGCATGACCTATATAGTGCCTATCCTCAACCCTCAATATGCCAAGCTGCCCTCAGAAAACCTTTAGTCTAAGCACTCCTTGGTATCAGTAAAGGAAGAAAATATATTCTCCCTCTCTTTTTGTTGAATGTTGCATGCCATTCCATATTTATAACCTACCTTTCCTCCCCAAAGGCAGCCCAAGGCACCTAAGGGGGGTGGGGACACAAAGGCAATCCATCACATCAGTATCAACTGTATAACAAACTTACCAAGCCCATAAATGCCTACATAATGTATGCAAATGTATACAAACAGTAATCCAGTACTGCTGCCCCATTAAATGTTTCCAGCAGAGCATATGTGTAAGAGGCAGAAACTTAAAGCGTTTCTGCTACGCTGCCTCCATGGGTGGGGTGGGGGAGAAGCTATACTTGTTGGACTTCTACCTGTTCCACTTATTTTTGGAAGCACCTAGGAACCCTGGGCAGGGAGGGATGATAATGATGACGACAATAATAATTTTATTTTTTATACTCCGCCCAACTAGCTGGGTTTCCCCAGCCACTCTAGGCAGCTCACAGCATATATCAGAACATACTAAAATATCAAACATGGCTGCCTTCAGATGTCTTCTAAAAGTCAGATAGTTGCTTATTTCCTTGACATCTGATGGGAAGGTGTTCCACAGGGCAGGCACCACTACCAAGAAGGCCCTCTGCCTGACTCCCTGTAATCTCGTTTCTCGCAGTGAGGGAACCAGCAGAAGATTCTTGGAGGACCTCAGTGTCCGGGCAGAGCGATGGGGGAGGAGACGCTCCTTTGGGTCTATGGGGCCAAGGCCATTTAGGGCTTTAAAGGTCAGCACCAACACTTTGAATTGTGCTCGGAAACACACTAGGAGCCAATGAAGATCCTTTAGGACCGGTGTTACATGGTCCCAGTGGCCACTCCCAGTCACCAGTCTAGCTTCTGCATTCTGAATTAGTTGTAGTTTCTGGGTCACCTTCAAAGGTAGCACCACATAGAGTGCATTGCAGTAGTCCAAGCGGGAGATAACTAGAGCATGCACCACTCCGGCAAGACAGTCTGTGAGTCTCAGCCTATGTACCAGATGGAGCTGATAGACAGCTGCCCTGGACACAGAATTGACCTGTGCCTCCAAAATGTCCAAAAGTCCAAAATGACTCCCAGGCTGCGCACCTGGTCCTTCAGGGGCACAGTTGCCCCATTCAGGACCAGAGAGTCCCCCACACCCGCCTGCCCCCTGTCCCCCCAAAATAGTACTTCTGTCTTGTCAGGATTCAACCTCAATTTGTTAGCTGCCATCCATCCTCCAACCGCCTCCAGACACTCACACAGGACCTTCACTGACTTCACTGGTTGAGATAGATAATAGTTACTGGCCAGCATAGAAATATTGTTAAATAATAAGAATAAGTATACTAATATTGGAACAGATAGCTTTCTGACTTAAATGCTCATGAGCATTTTGTAAAGGGAGCAATTGGCAGTAATCCTTTCCCTGTATCTTTTCAGCCTCTGCTGCTCTTGAGCGGGGGGTGGGGGGTGGGGTGGGATACCCCTGCGGAGAAATGCAGCTGGTCATCATGGGGGGGATGTGTGACCTCTGGCAATGTCAGCCCCCACATTTTGCAAGGTGAACAGTCGCCAGGGTGAAAACCATCTGAGCGCACCAGTGACTAGATGAGGGCAGGATTCCCCCACATGCACACTTCCCCCAAACATTTTACACATACAATCTCTTCCTTGCTAATTCTTGCAGTGGGGGGGGGCTGGCAGGCAAGGGGCTATCTCTGCTCCGATTTACATCCAGCTGATGGAGGGGGATGGTTTGCTGCTGCTTCTCTTTGTGTTGTGACTCAGTTCTGCCTGGGGCCGAGAGAGCGCTCTGTCTCCTCCTCTCTTGTTTGCCCATGACACTTGTCCCAGTTTAAATACAGATTTCCTCCCTCCTCTCCCTGCCTCCCTCCCTATCACCTTTGAACATTGGTTAACTGAAGTGAGAACTGACGAGCGTCACTCGCTTGAGGCCCTGAAGAATGACATCTGAGCGATAACCACATTGGCAGCCACTGCCAGGGGTATCATTCAGATCGTCGTCATAATCGCCATCGCCTAATACTGCCGGGCCCCCAAATCCTTAATTAAGGCTGGGATCCATTATCCCCAACATGCTTTGCAAAAGGCACAAACTCTGCCCGAAAGGTTTTGCTGTCACAAGATTAACCGGCAGCAGGTGGTGAGGTGAGAAAAGAATTACAGAACGCAAGCAAATCAATAGGCTATGGAAAGCCTCCTCCTGTGTTCCAAAGGCTGTTTGTTGTATTACTGTTGTGCTCATCCCAATCTCTGAGTGGCAAGAGGCTTCAGAGATTCCTGTGCTTACCCAGGGTTCAGTTTCCTTGGATTGAAGGCCAATGGAGACTGTGGCTTCTTTAGCATATATAGTCTTATTTACACATGTATACAGCCAAAGCATAAGATGGAGGGGTTCACAGCATTAACCCTTCCAACAGATCTTGCTTCCCCACTAGGTTTCCAGGGAAGCCCCTAGCCTAGGTTGCCACCTTTGGGACAAGTCGTGGGGGGGAGGGGGATTGGGGGGCTAAAAAATACTTTACCTGGTGCAGAATGAAATGACCACAAAGCAATCCATTACAATGGGTTGTTTCCAATGCTGGTCATACTCATAGAGTAGACCCAATGAAATTTATGGATATAAGTTAGCGATGCACATTAATTCCAATGACTCACATCTTCCCCAACTGCTGAATTTCTGCCTGTCAGAAGAATGGTAAAGGTAGAAACCCAGCCAAAGAAAGAAAGAGGTGGAGAGAGCAACAAATTCTGTTTCTCTTCCTAACAGAGCTTTGCCTTCAACCTCCCTTGCCATATAGCTACTAATGCCAATTCATTCACACAGACATAGTCAGACAACTTCATCCAGCCACTAGGGTTTACATCTTTTCTTGTCACATATTTGAGGCGTTTTAAAAAGAATTCATCTGTTGAATTGTTGAATTGTAGAGTTTGAAGGGACCCTAAGGGTCATCTACTCCAACCTCCTGCGATGAAATTTCTAGGTGGGGACCTGGCATTGGAGGTGGGTTGTAGGTCTTTGTCCTTCTCCATCAACTGCTGTTACCTCCAGAAGTCTGTCTGCTGTGCCTCACCGTCTCTCTGCCTGGCACGAGGTCCACTTTCTTGGGAAACAGAATTTGCATTTCTACTCGCACTTGGGAGGGCCTAGGACACTGAGCGGATTGTGCTCAAGCCTTACCTTGCCACCTCCTTCTGCTTCCAGACAAGAACCACTTGAACAACGCTGTGGTTAACCCCTCCAGCGTCTCACAGATTGGGCTGTCGCATTCACACAACAACCGGCTGCAAATGGCAAGCACGATGCCACACCAAGCGCCCGACTATGCCAAGTATGCAACTCTCAAGGCTGTAGGTAGGTATTGCGGCACTGCGTCTCCTGCCGGGCAAAGTAAGGCTGGCATTTGCTGGGGAAGGCTGTGAGAGCTGGCTGATCCAGTGTGGTATGATATATCTCCATGTACTCATGCCCATCGGCCCATTGCTGTGTACGGGGTGACATCATCATTGTGTCTTTGTTGACTAGGGGTGGGGAACCTCAGGCCTGGGAGCCAAAACATGGGTCAGGCTTTTCCGTCTGGCCATAGTCCAGCCCATGCCCCTGCCCTAGGCAGGCTTCACATCCTCCTCAGGTGTTTTTGCCCAGCTGCAATGTGTTCTTGAACTGTTGCAATGTCTCTCGCTTGCCTTGATGGAGAGATGTTTGCATGGGGTGTGCCTAGGAACCTCTGACAGAATGTAGCCTTCTGTGCAGAGGTTAGATGGCCTCTGACATGTATTGTCAGGGGTTCAGGAGCAGAGGCGAGGGCAAGGGAGGAAACAGAGAGCGAGGGGGAGGAGTCCGAAGAAAGGATGAGTGATGACGACGACCCGAGATCTCCGAGTCTTTCCAGTGAATCGGAAGATTCACAGAAAGGAGCGCCAGTGGCCAGAGCAAAGGGGGGGCCTAGGGGGACACCCCAGGAGGAAGGGACCAGCGGGGGTTCAGAGGGCAGCAGTTGGAAATCGGGGCCAGCGCCCCCACCAGAGCGCAGTGGAGAGGAAGGATGTCAGGGATCGAGCCCTGGCAGCTCGCAGCAGGGAGGAGGGCATGAGTCAGGAGTGACCACACCCCCATCGGGGAGCGAAGAAACGGTCAAGCGGAAAGTGGAAGGCTGGGCGCGCGCGCCAAGTTCAAATGCACGGGAAGGCGGCGCAGTAGGCAGCCCGGAAAGGGAGCCAGGTCCTAAAGCCCGACGCAAGGAGACAGGAGGGTCCGGGGGGTCAGCGTCAGAGGAGTCCCGGAGGGAGGAGACCACGGGGGGCAGAGGGACCCAGAGAAGGACGGTCAGGCGGAAAAGGTGGAGTAAGGCGAGGATATTAAGTTGGTGTACGAGGGGCGGAGATTCAGACGGAGCTTCGCCGGTCTAGCCATAAGACGTAGAGTTGCACGCAGCAGCTTGGAAATGGAAACTGTAACTCAATAAAGACTTTTATAAAGCGAACGCTGGCTAGCGTGATCCTCTGTGAGCTGGGATCGGGGAGCAGCTCTGACATGTATGAAGTGGGAGGGGGGGGAGATTGTAAGGTTCACAAGGAAGTGGGACCATTGGGCTGGACCAAATTTTCCCCACCATGTTGCTGGCCTTCCATTTTGCTGGGTAGTAGCTGGAGAATGGGGAGAAACTAGATTCAGGTCGCATTTAAAGATAAACCTCATTCCACTTTCCAAAACAACACATGAACTGGAATGCTGCCACCTTTTGAAACTCATGCTTTTTCCAGTTTTGCAGTGCAGTTTTTCAGCCATGCAATGTGATGAAAGTTCATATACTAGGGGGACATGTGCATAAAAAGCATATATTAGTGGATAAAATTACGCATTATATTATGGGAAATTGTGTTGTGAAAAATGTGTTTAGGCAAAATTGCATACGAAAACGTGCATATTAGCAGTTCATATGTAAATGCTGATGCATATTAACGAGGACTTTGGTTGTTGTTGTTGTTTTAAAAATACAAGCTGATGTGAAAATGTGGAGAAGTGAAACATGAGAAACTGAGAGAAACCAAAATTCACAGATTCGCCCATCGCTAGTAGTAAATGCTGGATTTCACTAATGCCGGAGGAAGATTGAATGAGGTGGGAAAGAAAGGAAAGTGATTGCAGGGGAAGAAAAAAATGAGCTAAGACAGAAAAGGGAGCTGTTTTGGAGAGATGAATAAGTCATGAGCTGAGGGCAAACAGAGTGAGTCTCATGGCCCAACTACAGTGGGGGTGTTGAATACAGAGCAGATGACTAAGAGCTGATGACAAAAATAATTTAACGTGGATTAGTTGCCCTTTAACAAATATTAATCACCCCTTTATACAATTATTATTCCTCACACTTTGGAAGAGTTTTTAAGGCCTTAAGACAGCCTTTGATGGCATGGTGCCCTCCAGGTGTTTTGTTCTACAGCAGCTTCAGTCAGCATAGCTGTGTAATGCTAGGGGTGGATGGGAGCTGTAGTTCAATACATTTGGGGGACACCAGGTTGGCAAAGGCTGGATAAAGGCATGGCGATGGATTCTACCAACAGGCAACAGCTGGAGAGCCTCCATGGACCACCCTATGACATAGAGAAGGGGTGAGCACCTCAAATCACTCCCAGCCATTTCTTCAGCCTTTAACCTATTCAAGAAGGCCTCATTGTTATGGTAACCACAAACAAAGTTATTTAAAATAAAGGCCTATGCAGAAAGCCAAAGCCTATCTAGCTGTACTCACAGCTGCTCAAAACAATGATGGCTTTTCCTGCCAATATCAAAATACCTTCATGTTTGCTCTTTGATGTAATTATATATTAGACTTTGTATCATTCTTATCTACCGTATTTTTTGCACCTTAACACTCACTTTTTTCCTCCTAGAAAGTAAGGGGAAATGTCTGTGCGTGTTATGGAGGAAATGCCTATGGATTTTCCTCCTCTAAAAACTATGTGCGTGTTATGGTCGGGTGCGTGTTATAGAGCGAAAAATACGGTAAATTGTTGAAATCTACCAGTTTGTTGACTATGGTTTGGCTTGCCTGTCATGTTAAGCCAAACCATCGCTTTGCACAAACCTCTGAGCTCTAGGAGAGGAGGTAGTGACTGCTTTGCACCTCCTTGTTCATTCTGCTGCTGTGCTATGCCATGGGTTGGCTTAGCATATCCTTTGAATCTGGGCTCACGGTTCAGCTGTCTCTAGACTAACCACAATTTGTAACCAAGGTTTGTCCTATGGTTCACAGCTTGTGGCTTGTTCAGCAGAGATAAACTACAAACTTGGATTCAGACAACTTGCCAAGCCAAACCATGGCTTAGCTGAGCACAGCAGAATGACTCTGGGAACCTGCACAATCCTGCATTAATGTGTGGTTTGGCTTAGCCTGACACACAAACCAAGACTGCGTGTGTCTAAAGCTTTCAGCAGACCTGACATTAACCTTCTCCTGCTTATGTACAGATGGAATTAGTTAACATTTAACATCCCTAACCCTCTAGTGATACTCACAAGCAGGATGGTTAGATGGTTACAGAGCTGTCAGGAGAGCCATCACAACCTTAAGAACGTTTTGCCCTTCGTTTTCTGCTCTGTTCCATATATTCCCTTCCAGAAAGTGCTCCTGAGGAATTCTACAAGCGGTTTCCTGTGGTGGACATGCCGCCATCAGCCACGCTGTCCTTCCCTCCCTTGACGCTACACCAGAAAGACGTTTCTCCCTATCAGGACGGCTGTGCTCTGATCGGCTTGGCAACACCAGGACAGAAGGCCAAGGTGATGAAAGCCAGTGCCCACACACTGGCAGGCAGCCCGGCCTTCAAACCAGGGTGGGATCCCAACCACCCCGACCTTCGACGGCAGGCCTACACCACCAAGCGCCAGTTCAGCATCGAGAAGCTCCCAGAGGTCTTCAGCCAGACGCCCACCCACTATGCCCAGCAGCAGCGGCCCTTCTCCACCAACAGCAAGACGGAAGTCACTGTCTAGAGCAGACCTCCTCCTCAATCTCCCCTCCCTTTGAAATATTCAAGCAGCCTGTGAGGTGCAGCCTGCCTTGTCAAGCTGGAGCACCTAGTGTTGACTTGGCAGAGCAACCCCCTCCTCTCGGCTGGCACTGCTAGGTTCTGTGAGAGAGCGAGGGAATTAGGAAGGAAGCTTGGCCACCGGAGCTGAGGGATCATCTGCAGCTCCTAACAGAACTTGCCCATTTGCTGTGGCCCTCTGATTTCTGCATCCTGACAGAACTCGGCCAGCATGCGTGGTGAAACCGGCATGCATGTCGCTCCACAATTCGATGCACGACTCTTGTTTGTAGCTCACGTCTTCATCACATCGCACATCCCAGAATGGTCAGCATCCACCGGAAACCTGAGGACTCCACTACCGTTCTGCATGGAGATGCATCAAAGGGAAAGTTGGCAGGGTGGTAAAATAAAATATATCATTCTTTTCCCCTCGCCAAGAAAGGCCAAGTCAAAGGACAAGACAAACTGCTGCAATAATTAACCAGAACATTGTGTTTGAACATTTGCCCAATATAACATTCCTCTTCTGCCTTTCCCGGTGGTTAAACAAATGCAAAAAATAAAAATAAATGGGAATACAACAATGAAAGCAGTAATAAACTGTTCAAAAAGGGAACTGCCAAGGGCTGGAAGAAATTTTTACACAGTTCCCTTTGTTCTTCACTTGATTCTTGTCCTTCTCTAGCAAACCTTTCGGTTTAAGGCCATTTGTTAATATTTCTTGTCGCATATAAAACCTATATACTGCTGACACTTTTTTTGCCTGCCACTCGTCAGAGACTCACTATCATGGATCCTTAACAGGGATTGAAAAGGGGGGGCATTGCTTTCTAGGGGATATTTCCCACCAAACTCTGAGAAAGGGTAGTGCTGCCTATCATGAAGGTACAGGAAGAACTGTGCTGTGAAGAGTGTGGAAGAGTGTGATTATGTGTCAGGGGAGAGTGTGACTTGTGCACCTTCTTAGTGGCATTGCCCATGGAGCCTTGTAGAAATGTCAGCCATAGGTTGGAAAATCAGCTTTCTTATTTAAGGTTTGATCTAGCAAACCAAAAAGGAACCAGTGTGACTGGAGTCGGTGGTTCACCACAATAGCAGGAGATGGCTTTCATTTCACAACACTGAGTAGGAAATATGTGTGTAGACTCATGAAATAAGCCAGACTTTCTGATTTGTCATGGTTTGCAGTCAGCAAGCAGCATGTTGTCCTTCTCTATCAAACCACTGTTTGCTGTGCCACCATTTCTCTCTCCCTCTTTGCTCCTCTCCAGTGCAAGGGGAACAAACAAGCCAGGAAACCTTGGTTTCCTATTACACCCAAACTAGGGATTGCGATGTGTGGCTCCCTAATAAGTCATAGTTAGCAAGCCAACAACAAATGACATGGCAATCATGTCTTGTTGAGGAGCTTGTGTTCCAATTCAGTCATACTGTTAGAAACTGGGGAATGCCCTCTGCTGACAAGGGCCTGGTGGCCAGCCTTCAAATATTGGTGCAAGTTCAGTGTTTTTAAATTGGGCACAGGGTTACTCCTTCATTTATCTCAGGGTGAGTACTTAAGCTGTTGGTCCAAGCTCATTGCCCAAAAAAGCTGCTTCAATTGGTTTGTCTTCAGACCTTCTCTTACATATGCCCTAAAATCAGTAAAACAAAGACTGTGGGATTTTGCCTTCTGTGATCTGTGGGCCCCCTCATTCTCACCCTGCTCACCAAGTGCTGTGAGTATACAGTATGTCAGGTCATTTTACACAGTTGAATATTTAAAGAATTTGCCAGTCACCAATTATGGTAGACTTTTTACTAAGGCCAGACTTAATGTGTTCCCTCTGAAATGTTCCGAGGTAGATTTGCTGGTGTCCCTTATTTCACATGATTATGTCCTTGTACTAACCAGGAAGTAGAATGCCTGAAGCACATTCTCCTGTCCTGTAGAATATATAAGCAGGTCCAACAACATTTGATTAATCCACTAATGCCAAATCCACCCGGAAAACCTGCCAATTATATGCCAAGTTCCTACTAGACATTAAAATTCCCAGTGTGACTTTGGCCATTGTCAAATTTCTTTCTGAGGTGGTCAGGATCAGAGATAAATTTGCATTAGACAAAAGTCTGAAAAAAGCATAGTCTTAATGATTTGTCCAAGTAGTTTGTGTACTTTTTAATGTATTTTATATGCACTGAATTTTGTTTATTGGGTCTTTTGGGCAGCAATAAAGAATTGATCGATTGATTGAACAAGCCATAATTCCCAATTCAAAGAAATTGGGAAGCCAAATCTTCCTGACTTGTCTACCCCAACTCACACAAAGGGAAAAGCAAAGTGGGAGAGACTGGAGAGTGTTCACCAGCTTATTGCTCATTCATTAATAAACTACAATAAGTCTGACTTGTTGTTACGTGCAAATGCAGCTTATGATGCTTTGATACAACAAAGACTGGACACAACATGTTCCTCTGCTTGGTGTGTCTAGAATTAGAGTCAACCTCTGGTGCATCTTCTCTCACAATGGACTGAAATCTCCTTTTTTTCTTCTTCTTCTTCTTCTTCTTCTTCTTCTTCTTCTTTTTGGTACAAACCTAGCCCTAGCTGTTTACCATTCCCAAGCTGGCCTCCTCCAGCTGTTTTGGATGACAACCCACAGCCAGCAAAGGGAGATGTTGTCCAGGACATCTGGATGGTGCAAAGTTGGGAAAGGCTGGCATATACAAATGCTGACTTTTCACATGGTGCTACCACAGAAGCAACCAGGAAGGTGCTTATTTCAGAGGCAAACTGGGGGAAGCACCAGGTTGTGAATTTGAACTGGGCCACTGCTTGTTCTCTGTTCTGCACAGCCTGATGCCGTTCCTGATGCTCCCATAACAAACAGGCTCCACTGTTGCTAGGCTTCTCGCTTCAACCCTCGCAGCAGGAGATTGCCCAACACAGAAATTTATCATCACGCATCCCCACTCTTGTTTCCAAACAAAACACAACCTTACAAGTGCATAGATAATGGCACAGGAATTAACAAAGCCAGGTTCACACAGCGTGTGGCTTTGTTGAGGGAATGAATGGATCACATCCAGGAAATCAGCGAGTTCTCTTTCGGGAGTGCATGGCAGCAAGGCCCTGGGGAACCTTTTGTCAAATAATTTAACCTGCAGAAGTGGTGGCAGTGGCTGGATCACAGAGCAAACTCTTTACCTCATCTGAAGGATTGTGGGTGGTGCAATTATGGGGCAAGAGAGGAGGTGGGACCAGCATTCAGCTGCAGAGACAGCTGCAGTATTTTAGAGGATAGGACCTGAGCCAATGGATTCAAATGGCAAGAAAGGAGTTTCTGACTAAACATTAGGAAGAACTTAAGAGCTGTTCTAAAGTGGAACTGGCTCCCTCAGAAGGTGGTAGACTCTTCTTCACTGGTTTTTAAAAACAGGTTAGATGGTCATCTGCCAGGTATCCTTTTAGCTGTGATTCCTGCAGTGCAAGGGTTGGATTAAATGACCCCTGGGCTCCTTTCCAACTCTACAGTTCTATGAGTTCCCTCTGGACCTTTCACAGGAGATTGTATCCAGTCAAGTAATTGCACGTGTTGCTTCTTTCCACGGCCACCAGGTGAAAGAATTTTTTTTTACCCTGGTTGTCTCTCACCAAACAGCCTAAAATGCCCTCAAGGACACTTCAAAGCATTGTGGAACTAGGCTTAAGCATGAAGTGGTGAAAAGAATTGAGACTACAAAGCATTATGAATTTAGATTAACAGTTTACTAAGTTGTTTTTTAATGTACGTACTTAGGAAAAAGATTTCACATAGGAACAGCATACACAGCTTGCCTCCCACTTGGAGCAGAAGGCCAAATAAACAAAGGATTAAATACAAATCTACTTTTCCTATCTTGATATAGGCCCTAAAATTACAAAATTGTGTGATAGTCATGCATACAGCCTCCAGGCTGACTATATGTTATTTATTCTTCCATTCTCAGATGCCACCTTTATCTAACTCTCAAAGCATGTCACTGGCAGATACAGCCTAGAGCTACATTAATTCCTGCTCATGCCAATCCACAAAACCTCAAAAAAGTACTGGGTCTTCTTCCCAACAGCAAAGCACCACATTCTCAATGATTATTTTCCTTCCAGTTGGATCGCTGGACAGTTTAGGCTTAACAAGTTAACCTCCTAATCCTCAAATGAAGATTTTGTATTATTGTACAATACAACAGAGCAGTTCATTTCCTTTACACACCTTAAAAGTCTAACGTCTTTATGTCTTTGCTTTCCTGGATTAGCCTCCTCCCCTCACACTTCAGTTGTGTCAGGAATTGGCCAGATTTATTTTAGATAGATAGGCACATCTGTTCTGTAAATCTTGTTTTTGTTTCATTTGGGCTTGAGAAATCTGAAGTGAATTCTAGTACCAGGAAAGCAAATGCCACAATAAACTGTTTAATCTTTAAGATGCTACAAGAACGCTTCATTGTTTTGGACTGCAGCAAACAAAGATGGCTGCCCTTCTGGAAATATGGTTGGCACCTTTATTGGGTTCCTGCTATAACAATTGTGTTGAGGCATAAATTTATTAGGCTGGGGATTATGCAGGTGAAAGAGGTGTAGGCCTGACAAGAACATGGAATGCACATACCTAAGGAACCCCAAGTGCATTTGGTCTGTACTTTTTTGTCCTTTGTTAAATACTGTAATAAAATTTCCTAGGAGATCTCATTGTCTGGACATATGTGTGTCTGAGGACCTATGTGTTCATGAAGCCTCCTCTCCACAGAATTCAACCTCGCAGGAATTGGCATTTTCATTTTTGATAGATAGGCACATACATTTTGAAAAACTTCGCTTTTATTCAAAGCTGGGCTATGGAAATTTATATAATAAAACACCAGGTGTCCCAACATGAATGGAGCTTGGCAAAATGCCATTCTTGGCATATACAAAACACGCTGTATTTCGTTCCTCACATTTCAAGCTCTTTTGAGGCTGCTTTCATAGAACTCTCTTTGAAGGCACATCGTAATATGATTCACATCACCCAACAAGAGGTGAAGGACACACAATGACCGACAAATAAATATGTATGCTTTAGCAGATTCCAAAACTCTTTGTCCACATTATCCTGGCAAGACCTAGAACAGCACCGCGGGGAAGACCAGTGCAAATGGTCATCTATTGAGGCTTCAATGGGGATATTCAGTGACCAAGTGGACAGCCATCCCTGAGACAGTTCCGTGAAAGGCAAAGTGTAAGTACAAATATTTAAAAATAAAATAAATATGAGTTGGCAACAGTTCATAGGTCACAATCACATTAATTATTTCATCTTGTTTATTGTTAGTCACCATGGATGGCAAACTCTTGATATAAAAGGCAAGCTATAAGTTCCAAATAAATAACATTATTTGCCACTAAATCACATGTGCTTCTACCTATCCAGTTTCACAACTGAATGCCTTAGCTTTTCACCTATAGCATAGATTGCTACCCACTCCCATTCACCCATTTCCCCCTTACCAGGAGTTAAGTTTATTTGAAAATGATTCTGCAATGCAGTCTTCAGATGGAACCAGATGGGTTTCAAAAGAGGGTACCACCCCGAACCAAGGCACTGGTGAAGCAAAATATGTGAAATGCTGCCAGCAGCATCAACTGGATGATACTAGGCGTGCTCACCAACTGAGAGGTCTCATTTTGGGGTTCTGCTTTGATAGCCTGGACCATTTGTCAGCTTCTTCGAAAGGCAGGTCTGTTCTGTGGTGACTTGTAATAAATGGAGCACACACAGCTAGAAGGCATCTTGATCCATTTTAATCACTCTTGCCAGCAAGCTCTTTACAGACTGTTGGGCAAATAGTTGGGGAGATGGTAGCCAAGGGAAGGGGGGGGGAGAACAGCTTCAGCCAGTTTAATATTAACTCGAGTTGTCCCTTCCCCGCTTATCCAGTCTTCCTGTTCAAGATGGAAGTAAAATGTTGCGTCAGCCTAGGGATCGCTCAAGGACATAGGATGTTCTGTGCAAGGAAAACTTGAGGTGTTGTGCCCATCAAGAAAAGTGATCCCTGCTAACCTGCCCCCTGCAAACTGTCTATTTTGTTTCCTCTCTTGGGATTCCCCAGCAGTGTTTCAGAAACAAAAAAGAGGGGTTGCCTCCACCAGCTGAGTATAACTGACTGAGCTCTGTTCTGATCTCAGTAGTAGAGTACATGTTTTTCATGCAGAAGGTTCCATGTTCAATCCCTGGTGTGTCCAGGTTGGGAACAACCCCATCAGAAACCCTGCCCAGAAGAGCAATCATGAGCCCGATGAACCTGACCGTCACATCCACACCATGCACTTAAGCAAATGGCTTCCCCCATAGAATCCTGGAAGGTGTAGTTTACTCCTCAGAGCCACAATTCTCTCAGCACCCTTAACAAGCTACAGTTCCCAGGATTCTTTCAGGGAAACGATGTGCTTTAAATGTGGGGTGTGGCTCGCACCACGTAGGTCTCCAATGACAGTCCCATGAATTTGTCTAAATCCTCTTTAAAACCATCCAAGTTGGCAGACATCACTGGATCTTCTTTCCCTCATGAGATGTACAGCTTCTGCCCCTTGTTCATAGAATCATAGAATTATAGAGTCGGAAGTCGATACCCATAGTTTAAGTAGGAATTGTGGGAAGAAGCAGCACCTTTAGTCTTTCCTGAATCTCCCAATATTCAGTGCTTTATTGGATTCTGGCATGATGTTATGAGACGGACCACCCTACACTTTGCCCACATCATACATAATTTTATACACCTCGGCTGGAAGGTTCACTCACATGCCTCACACAGAGGTTTCCAGTGCCTGGCAGGGGCGGCAATGTCTGCCTTCTGCTGCTAGGGCAAATGTGGAAAACTTCCTGCCACATTTGTGAAAAGAGAATTTCTTGGACCCAGCTTACGGAGGTGCTAAGGAAAGTGAAAGCAATTTGGCTTGAGAAAATAGTGGCTTCTTAACAATTTTTTCAATCAGAGTCCCGAAGACATTTTGTAGCAAGTTCCTCGTATCTTTTAATCTAGTACTGCCAGGCACTGCCCAGATAAGTCAGATGTACTGACACATCACTCCATTGGCAGAGCTCTGATCTTCATTTTCTTGCTCACCCCCTACACACACACACACACACACACACACACACACACACACACACACACTTAGCATCAGTAGCAGCAGAGGTTGCCTTAAAGGCAGTATCAGTTCCTTGTTCCACTTTGTTCCTCAGAAGTGCTCCCTTTGTTGCCACTTTCCGAGACTCGGAAGGAGCAAAACGATTCCTGCCTTCACATAAAACACAGGCACCACGAGAAGAGAAAGCTACTGCCCAGAGCACAATGGCCTCATTCTAAAATCTTATGTTGGAAATCCCACAGGAGGATTAATCTTTAATAGCTGAACCAAAACAGGTCCGCCAAACTGTGTGAGTCTCTGCCAACCTGCCTTTGCTTTTAGGGAGGTGTGTGGAAAGGCAGGAAAAAAGAGAGGTGGAGAGGCAGGACAGTTCAAAGTGTGTTTCACTCCAGAACCTTTTGTGGAGAACACACATGTCCTGGGTATGTCTTTGTGTTTTCATTAATCTATCCAAATAACATATTGAGGGAGGTGAAAAATGCATATATATATATGGGGAATGGAAGAAAGAGAGTACCAGGAGATGGAAGAAAATGAAAAATAGAAACTGCATCCAGGGTTGTAATCTGTGCAGAAATGCAAGCCTGCACAAAGTAGAGTTCTGTATTCCATACAGGAGGATTTTCAGACTACAAATTAGTGGCATATATTCAAATTGAGGTGTTAGAAAACCCAACCTACCTACCTCCAAGGACTCCAGAATGCTGAAATAAGGGTCAGCAGAGTTGTTAGAATTACTCCTTTACTAAGTTACTTCTGCCCTCTGCTGGACAATAGAAAAATAAAAGGCCAAACAGCCTGTCTCTGCTGTTAAGTGCAGAAATTTGGACTCACCTGTTGATTTGTCTCTTCAGCGATGTTGGGGTGCAACAGGGAGCCACCTACCTCCTGGACATGTCGTAGAAGGGCACCAAGAGGAGAAAAGGCTTCTTCTTAGCTTCCAGGGTATATTCAGCAAGCCCAGGGATAGCCGCAAATTCCACTATCCATGTCAAGAAAACTAGAGCTTGGTCTCAAACACAATAAACAGAAATATGAGCCAGCAATGAGAAAGCTAAAGTAATAGGAAAGATTTATGGGACTCGTCTATCTAGAGATGTGGAACTTGTGGCCTTCAAATGTTGTTCGACTGTGGATTCTCCCTAAGAGAAATATGTTATCAATTATATACACCCTTCCTCATAGTTCTTTCAAACCTGTGGCATATGTATCATCAGTGTAGGTTTTCTGTTCCAAGTCCTACAGATTGCTGGGAAGATTGGCAGATTAATCCTAATACTTAAGAGCTTGCTCTGATCTGTTCTGCACTCCTCGTGAATTACTGTAGCTTATATTTATGGACTTTGTGTGACAGAGGAAACGCTGGTGATTTAACTTTAACAAAACCTAATCAATTCAATTAGGCCACTGAACACTGCAGCATTCTGACAATCCTATTTAGCCACTACCATTATCAGTTATTATTCTTGTACTACCACTGGTGTGCAAGCACACTTTGCGGGAGAACGTTTTAAACATTTCCCATACACCCCCACCCAACAAAACGCACTCTTCTTAATGAAGCTTCTTTCGAATATCAGACTTTGCGTACAATTTGATTTTTATTAGACAAGTCGCGCAATGAACCCCAGGAGAGGGTCACAATCAGGACATATACCAGAAACGCTCACCCACTCACATCATTGCCAGCTACGTTTTCTTATAGCAAAGAATCCTTATTCCTAATTTCATTGGGATAAATACACTTTTCACATCATATATAAAAGCACAAAAAAATTACATTATATACACAAAAATAATATAGAGATAGCCTGGGTGACAACAAACCCATAAATAAATGAGGTGTCTTTTTAAAAAAAAAATGGTTGAAGTACATGGAAAGACAGGGCGATTCCCTTGTGGAGGTCCCATCTACACAAGCATAATTCCACAAGCTAGCAGTACCACCCTCAATGCCTCTTCCTGCTGTACAACATGAGGCTTTCACCCTCAACTGCAATGCCCATTCTCAGCCGTAGTATTCCCTCCTGCTTGACAGTATAAATGGCTTTCACAGCCTCAAATCCATAGAACTGTGAAATGTCCTGCGGTACACAGTGTCAATAGGAGATGACATTCTGATGCACATCAACTAATCCAGACACTTCAAAACTTAACTGCGCAGAATTATTTGCTATGAGAGCTTCTAGATTGGAAAGGTTTCTTTCTAAGCGTCGGGCATGCTAAATCACTTCGCCAAACACTCACAATTCACGAAGGTCCTTGTGCTAATCCCAGATGGATGGCTGCTAACTCCAAGCAGACTGGAACAATCTGCGCGAGTGGCAGAACAACTGTGGAAGGAAACCAGCGATGGTAGCACCAAACACCCCAGGCATCCTGCTAGAATGTACCTTTTCGTTGAGGTAGTTTGTTACCCTTTCTGTTTTGTCGCTACCATCACTGGAAAAACGGCTGTCGGGAAGCACCCTTAAGAGAACAGGATGGTCCTCGCCTTCCAGCCTGCCTTATTTAAACAACTGCCCACGGATCTGCAGTGCTAAATCCAAGGCACGAGTATAGACTATGGTTGCTACCCATGTTTGTAAGATAAGCAACCAAGATCATCCATGTGATGTGAGATATGGAACTAAATGCCCTACACCCCACCCCTACGAACTAGTCCTGGCAAAGCAACTTCCAAGGCTCACTTTCACTGTGTATTTTGATACCTTTCGCAAGTGCAACCTTTCAGACACATCCACTCACGTATACCAACGGGAAATTTGGAATGTTCATGAAATTACACCTCTTGTTAGTTCCAATATATTCAGGAAGATTGAGAATTGGTCTTCAAAATAACCAAAGTTAGCCAAAGCTTTATTGTGGGGTCGTCTTTTGGTTTACTCTATGGAAAGTTTTAAAAATTTGATATCAATGTGATGTGATATGAATCTCTTAACTGTGCGATTCAGGCCACGTTCCTTTAATTATGTAATTGTTTCAGTGTTTGGAAAGCCCTTCCCCCAGGATTTCATGTGTTTTGGGACACACAGAGCTTCATTTGAATTGAAAATTGTCAATGAGAGGTCTTTTTTTAATGGAGGGTCTTAGTTCTGCAGCAGTGTTCAGCTGTTACGCATGGAAGGCACACTAGCTGCAAGAACCACTGCAATGTACAGTTGTGTGGGCCTCCCCAAAGAATTATGTGCCCCCAAATTCATTTGTTTGGTGCTTGTGTGTTTGATTTGGACAGATTTGGAAGATGAAATAAGAGAGGCTAAGCAAGAACAGAGATGATGCACAGGCAACGGGAGAAGGCAAAAGTGATCTGTGAGACTCTGAGCTCTATGAAATATAAAATCTCTTTTCTTAGAACCTATTCTTCCAACAAGGAGGCCTAGTTGCAGCCACTCCTCTTTCTCCTAGTTCTAGAACTACATCTACACTACATATGTAAACCATTTTATAAACCTGTTTGACCGTCAAAGCTACTCCAAAGGAGACAGCTGTTGGTAGTGTGGACAAGTCCTAAGACTGTTATCCTAAACATACTCATCTAGATGCAGCTACCAAAGAAATCAAACATCAGAAAAAAGGATTCCTAGGGTTGTATCCAACGTAGCGCAAAGTTAAAGTCACTTAGCGGTAAACTTGTTGCACTGGCAAAACACTTTTGTGCAAAAAAGCACAAATGCATTGCCTAAAATTGTTGCACAACAAGCTTTGGCTAGCACAACTGTTGCATTGGATTTCTTTGTGGGCCAAACCTTTAAGCTCTGGTCTCGCACTAGCGGACAGAGAACAATGAATTCAGCCCCTAGTTTGCTTTTTTGTTAAGGTAAAACTCAATGCTGACTTTAAGCGTGTGATTCAAAAAATGCACTTAGACTTACGGTGTCTCTTTATTTACAAAAGAAACAGTAGGAGCGCTGATCAGGAGGGGTTTTTAACCTTTCCTCTCTGTGCTATTTTTCCTGCTGAAAATCTTCCCCAAGCTGTAGTTTGTCTTGGGGTTCCCCCCCCCAAAAAAAACAGCAGCAACAAACTTCTTAAAGTAATGCGTAATCCCCTCCCTGTGATCCTAATCCAGATTTTGGGGAGGAGTGGGGGTCTGCAGGTATTTTTTTTAAAAAAAAACCATAAACAAAGAGCAGTGGTTTGTCTATGCATGCTTTTTGAATCACAAGCTTAAATCTGCTTCTGGTTCACCACTAAGTCCATCCTTGTCCCCTCTTTTAGGGCATGGAAATACAACTCCAAAGATAACGACAGTATGGCTCCATCGGCTGCCAGGTGGCAGATACATGAGTAAGAAGTGGAAGGGAGGACAAAGAAGACGGAAGAGAAACCTAGATGTTGTCCTTAGTGCTTATAAAGCCATAAAATGCTATAAAAACCCCAAATTGCATTAAAAACTGTGATGCCCTTAGGAGAACCTCCAAAGGCTCTCAGAGAATGCAGAATCTATAGAAAAGCTTCTATGCAACCCACTGAGGACCAAGGAGTCAGATCTCCTCTCTGGGTCTGCCAAAAGCATATGGCACCTGATGTGCAGATCAAGGGCCACCGCAGATGCCAGGAAAAGGGCTGAGGGCAGCTCTTCTTACTTTCTAGAAAACCCCTCCTCAAAAGATAGATTGTTTTGTAAAGAGGTGGGGGACCAACCTTTCCAAACCCACCCTTCTTCATCACTATTCCAAATTCTTCTCTCAGTGTGCGAAAATGCGAACACTCTCTAGCTCCAGTGTGGGCACCCTTTGTACTAGAAGGCATATACTAGCAACAAAAGCTGGTTTACAAGAAGACCCTACCCTGGCTAGCGTATCACAACTTTCATGGTCCTAACCTGGAACAGTGTTCAAAAAGGGAGGAGGAGGAGGATAGGAAGGGGCAAGAATCCCGTTCAATAAGTGACAAGGCTGCAATCCTCCACGGTTAGGAAGCCGCAATTGCTGTGCCGCCACTCAGCTTCACAATCATCTGCTGACAATCATTGCAGGAACGCTTGTCTCCAACTTTCTCCAGTGTGCGGGCTGCTTCCGCCAGCAGGACGGCTCGCTGGCCCGGGGACGACAGGAAGGAGAGGGGAAGGTGGCGGCAGGCTAAGAGAATTGCTGTAGCTCGCTCTCTCTGCCCAGGAAGGACGTCCAGTTCACCTAGGTATGGGAAAAAAGAGTCGTCACAAGGAATGCCACACTTGTGGGGGCAATAAGTGCACCACGGGAGTCAATTTGTTTAAGACTACACTGGGGTGAGCAAAAGATTGCCTCACAATGGGTGCTACCCAACAGAGTGCAAGAAGCAGTCAACCAACTCCCACTGATACTCTAGGCAGTAATTTATTCTAGAGGCTCGGATGCCCCAAGCTGAGTCCTGGCCGGCAGCCCAGACTTAGCAGCCTTGTCCTGGTAACAGAGATGACACTTGCACAGGTGGGCGAGGCCCACCCTCTCCGTGACAGGCCTTTCTTTTGCTCAAATTAGCAGCCTCAGATGTCAGCTAGCGAACATCTTTGTGCCACCGCTTCTTAAAACATTTTAAACACTCTGGCTTGGATCCTACAATTTATGAACAAAAAGCAGCTCACCAAAGGGGGGGGCATTTCCCATCTCTCCCCCCCCCCCCCAATTCTGGGCAATTCCTCATCACAGCAAAACCACGTTTGCCACTGTTTTAGGTTAATTAGGGTTCCAAAGGTCTCTAGAACTGCACACCAGGGGACTAAACTAACTGTGGCATTTGTCATATATGGTTTGGCATTGCTTGCAAGCATGTTATAGATAGATAGTGCAGGGCGGGATGGTGGTGACCCAGTTCAGGGCAGAGATGGACAAGAGCTTCCTGACCTTGCTTGGTACTCTGGGGTGTCCGACGCCTGAGACTGTGCTCCAGCAGCTGATGAGTACGTGTGGGACTGGCCCCTGCCATCAAACGCACAGTGGCCTCATGCAGGAACACCTGGAAGGAGGGGGAAAGCAGAAGACAATGGGTAGTGTCTACATTTTAGCAACCTTCCATCACCTTGTGGTGCTGTAGATTTGGGCATGTGCCTTTATCAGATAACCTTGCACCTTCTGGTGCTAATCCTCTTAGCCACTTTTCCTTCCCTAACTCCTTGCTGCTGAACAAGAGTGTACAGAGAATGTGCCCTTTAAAAGAGGGGCATGCTACCCAACTATCTCTGACCAGCAGTGGTCCACACTCTACCACAGAACCATCTGCGCTGTTTGTGCATACATACAAACCAGTGGAGAGCAGTGATTAAGGCTGTCAGGCTAGAAATCCCCAGTTCAAATCTCACAGCCACCATAAAAGCTACACGGCATTAGGCAACCCCATATTCTCTCATCCTCACAGCTCACACGGGTGACATGTGGATAATGGGAATGGCATACATCACAGGGCTGTTTTAAGGATTATTGAGATAATTTACATAGAGTTTTGAACATTCAGGAAGTGTCACATTAGTTTAAATCCAGGGGAAACCGCAACACCCACCCACACCCAATGAATGCTACTTAAGGGCAAAGTCTACAACAGTAAGGACATATCCAGCAGGAAGCCACCACGGCAAAACCAGTCCTGGCCTAGCTTGTGGACCATTTGCCACTTTGGCCTATAACAGCATGCAGGAACTTAAGGGACAGGTCATCACAAGTGGCAGCATCTTACCTTTCGATAAGCAGGTCTGAAACTATGGGCCAGTTTTCTCAGGCTGCCGAGGTCGCGCTGGAATCCTGTCAGCTCAGAAGCAGAAGCATGGTAGGCCTCTCCCAAGGCCTGGCTGGAGTTCATCTGTTTCTGCCACAGAGTGGTGCGGAGGGACAGCAGTAGGTCGCAAGCTAGCAGCTGGATCATCTGCAGGGAGACAGACCCATTCAGTGACAGGAGTATCAAGACATTCCAGCATCATTAGCAGGATGCAGCAGCCTTCAGAGGGACAAAAGCTTCTCACACATATCTAAAAATACTAGCAGAATTATACATAGTGGTTTTTTCTTAAAGATGAGATGGTATCAACCGACAGCTCTGTGACCAAATTCTTCTCAAAAAGTGACTCAGCATGAGCATTCTGAATTTTCTGTTGTCCAAATATTATCAGCAAAGGACATGACAACAAGATAGCATGGAGGAAGCAACCAGGTTATCCAAAGGTAGCCAATGTGGTACCCTTCAGATGTTGTTAGACTACAATTCCCATCATACTTGACCAAGAGCAATGCTGCTGAGGCTGATGGGAGCAGTGGTCCAATAACATGTGGAAGGTACAGGGCTGGCTACCCCTGAAGTATCCTGTGCCCCTTTGTAGGCCAAAATCAGCACCTATAACTGCATTCTGAAAACGTGTCAACACAAAATCAGGGTGCAGTGGGCTCCCAGCAACAAATCATTGTTCCCACAGCATCCATCACAGTAAATATTCAAAGAATTACCTAACAAAAATTGGTTAACAGTATAATTGCTTTATTTGTTTTTTGTTTCCTGTGTGTTTTGTGTGAATTCTACTTACCACCAGAAAATGAAAGATTAAGCCAAATGAAGAAATACTGAGACCACCACACTGTTTTAATGTGGAACTGAAGATCCACTGACAGAAGACTGTCCAAAAGATGGGCAGTGGGGGGTGTACATTCATTTTTATTTTAGCCACCATGGCTGATATGATCACTGGCCCTAGGACCTTTCAGAGAGTGGTGACAGATGAATGAGCCTAAGGCTCAAACAACTTCTGGGAGACAATTAGTACCTTATTCAGCTATCTCCCAGCTGGAGGACACAGCCCTGCCACCATCTATGGACTCTGGACTATGGAGAATGTGTCCCTTTCAATATTCCCATCTCTCTAGCTTACAGGTGTCACAAGATAGAAAATCAGGCAAGACTGAACTACAGCTCTGCCAGAGAGGCAGAGCCGGCCACACAACAAGTCTTGTCAGTCTACAGATTCTGTTTTGGCTGCCCTTCCCAGAAAATAGCTTTTTGTACATGACTTTGCCTTGACTGGACTTTACCTGCTTAACCTGACCTTGCCCACTAACAATTTGCCTGCCACGCCCAGACGCTACCTGCTTTCCCTGCAAATCTCAACGCTCCCGTGGAACAGGACGACGACACTGGGACTCTAAGAAAGTGTCCTTGAAAATGGGTCCCAAAGGTTCCAACAATTAGCCAGCAGTAAAATGAAGCAGTATGATCTTGAGAAGGTACCCTTGGGATAAAAAAACTGCAAAACAAATCAACCTCTTCTACAGAATAGTGTTTTGGTACGCCCTCCGGTGGCAAAAAAAAAAGGTATCTTTAATATCAGTTCGAACTGCATTTTGAAGGACTCATTTTGGCTCATTCAAAAATACCTAAGCAAAATAGAAGTGTTGTTTTTACAGGGTTTTCAAAACAAGCTTTATTGCGGAGGCTTTGGGAGGAGGCCAGGGAGCTCCTAGTCCTTCTGGGCTGCTGCTTTCCTCATTGTTTCCAGGGTACTGTTCAGTTCCTCCTGCTTCCTCTTGGCCTGGATGTAAGTCCCCACCCTCTTCTTGTTGAACTGCAGAGCTCACTTGTCTTTGGAGATCTTGAACAGCACCATCACACATATCTTTTTGGAGACGAGGCAGCATGCCTCCTGGATTGTGTCTTACACAAACTTGGGGGTGCTTGGCCAGGTGTCCATGGCACTGGCATGACTTTGCCCCATTCTTAGTCACCTTGTGGCCCTTGTTCAGGCGAAGGGCCATTGGGCAGCGGACTGCCATGGCTGCCGCAGCTGCTGCTTCATCTAGGCCATGCCCAAAAAGGAAATCAGCTAAGCAAAATAGAGATCACGATGGGCACTTCATTTGCCTTTTCACTGCCTTCACATATACCTTTTCTCAGCCTTTTCAACCCATGTGCTCCACTTTCATCTCTCATGCTTTCTTTCTGCTTGCAGTGCAATGCAGTCTGGATTGTACAGATGGCCTCTTGGCCCCTTCCAATTCAGATGTTCAGTTCCTAGAAAGTTTCTACCACATCACTTAAATCACTGAATCGGAAAGAACAGCATTCAATCCAGGCAAGGTGAGGAGATTCCCACCTGCAGAGGAGAAATGGGTGCACCTCTGTGCTGCACTGCGGAAACATTGCACGAGTACTGCCACAACATGCAATGCAACTACAATGCACGACAGCTGCCACCCAGCAGTGATGAACAGCTCCGGTTCTTGTACAGTGCCAAAAGTTGGAAAGCCCCAGCTTCTCAGAGAAACAAGGAAATGAAGGTGAAGCTGACACCCTGATACAAGGACTTCACACTGCTCTTGCCCACAGGAGACTAGACATGTAGTGCCTTCTGTGGGAACAATTCACCCAGGAGGCATAATTAAAAGCAACAAGGGCAGGACCAAACAAGAGCTCAGCCTGCTAATTCTGGCAGTGCACTGGAAGCCAACACACTGGAAACAAATGCACTCCTCAAGCACTACTGTGGGAAAAGGAACACTGCAGCTCTAGTCAACACACACAAAAGGGCAAGAGGAGAGGGAATGTTCTCTGTCTCTCCAATCAGGAAGAAAAAAATGTTAGCTGCTGCTTCTTCAGCTCCAGGATATTTGACCTCAGAGACACATGGAATGATGACTAAACATTTGCCCACAAGCCTTGGCTCAGGAAAGGATGGAGAAGGCAGTTGTACATGTACAGCCAGTTGTAAATGATTGTGATGAGGATGAGGATACTTACGTTATTGAGACCTGTGCTTGAGACCCCACTGCTCATGTTGAGGCTATTCCAAAGGTGCGTGCTGGCTCTTTCACAGTGGCCAAAGGAGCTCTGCTGCCCATCTGCCTTGCTTGACAAGGAGGCGTTCATGGCTTTGCACACATGAAAGACAGCTTTCACAAGGGCATTCCTAGAAAGGAGGGAAGAGAGAAGAGAAAGATCCCAAGCCAGGAACAAGGTCAGTGCCTTTAAGGTATTGTGGTCGTGGACCAACCACCTCCATAAGCCCCTCACTTACTAAGTTGCCATAATAAGTAATAATGTTATTAAATTTCTATACCACTCATCATAACATAATAACAAACAAAAACAACCTCCCCAACACACACACACACAGTTAAAAAGGCCATAGATTGCTTAGATTAGCCAAGGGCCTAGGAGAAGAGGAATAATTTTGTCTGGCACCTAAAGGTGTATAATGAAGGTGCCAGGTGAGCCTCTCTGGGGAAAGCATTCCACAAACAGGGAGCCAACACAGAAAAGGCTCATTCTCACGTTGCCCCTTCTCTGGACTTTTTGAGGCGGCACATGAAGAAAGGCCTCACCAGCAGAATGGGAATCCTCAACACCACCTCTAAGACCAGATCCGTCAGCTCAGGCAGAAAGACTGCTGGGCAGTGAGGTAGGCAGTAAACCAGCAGAATCTCTAATCTGTTCTGATTCCCAATGCCAGGAACACATACTCCAGATCCTCCACCCAACTGGATAGAGAGCCTGAAGGGAGAGAGAGAGAATCTCTCTATAGACCAGAGCAACTCCCCCTCCCCGACCCTCAAGTCTGGCCTGATGCTGCACTGAGTACCCAGATGGCCACAGCTGGATGAGACCAACTCCACCCTGCATCTAACACTTAGAAGAGTCTTTGCATCCACCACCCCAGTGCCTGATAGCTGGTATTTTCAGTTAATACAATCTCAAAATACTGCAGCTTAGTTTGGAAACTATTTAAAGTGACAAAAGGCAATTGTGAGAGTAATGCAAAAAGGCCACACACTCCATCATCTCCAAACATTTAGGAATTCGCTCCACGTTGGTAAACTGGGATCTCACGGCTGCATCATCACCCCTGAGCCAGCTGATTGTCATTGTGATTGCGGATGACCACCACCTGCACACCACATCAGGGCCTAGGTATGCAGAAACAAAATAACAATAAATATGAGACACTCTCACCAATGCAAATCCCAACAGGTTTTGTTTTAATGAAAAATGGCTTCAGGAGACGGGAATCTTTTCCCCATCCACTGTTTCCTTACTTCAAGCTCATTCCCCCTGTAAACCTACGAAAGTGCATTCAAATACACTGAAACCCTTGCTCCTGGGAAGGGGAGCCAGCCATGGGAGGAAGGCACTTTGGAGTAAGAAAATGGTAGGCAGGGAAAAGTCACACCCATACCCCCACACTTCTCTGTTCTAAATTTCCATCTTGGATCTGCTTTTCATTTTGAAGAATGGCATCGGGTCCCAGTTACACATATTTCTGTGTAATGAAAATGAACTTACCAGGAACTAGAATAGTGTGAGGTTGCTTGCTGGTAGGAGGACCCTTACAAGGAGGACAATGCTGAAAAGGTCAGTTTCTGGCAAGACCTGCTCAGATCTCATTTAAGCAGCTGCTTTGAAATGCCCAGGACATCTTAAGCAGAGCGCCCCTCGCGCGGGGCAGACATTCACAGCTTGGGGAGCCCTGCAGGACTTCCCCGCAGGGCTCTGCAAGCTGCGGATAGGGGTAGCAGGCTGCTATCCGCAAGCTGCGGATAGGGGCAGCAGGCTGCTATCTGCAGCTTGGAGAGCCCTGCGGGGAAGTCCTGCAGGGCTCCCCAAGCTGCGAATGTCTGCCCCGCGCGAAGGGCGCTCTGCTTAAGAGCGCCCCTTGCGCGGGGCAGCAGGCTGCTATCCGCAGCCTGGAGAGCCCTGCGGGAACTCTTCTGAAGGCTGGCGGGGGAGAAGGGCTTTTCTTCCCACCGCCAGCCTTCAGAACAGCCTTCTGAATGTTGGCGGTGGGGAGGAAAACCTTCCTCCCACCGCAAGTCTTCAAAACAGGTCCGGGAACAGAGGAGAAGCGCTGCGCGCCTTCCCCTCTGTTCCCGGACCTGTCCTGAAGGCTTGCGGTGGGAGGAGGGCTTTCCTCCCCACCGCCAACATTCAGAATGCTGTTCTGAATGTTGGCAGTGGGGAGGAAAAACCCTCCTCCCACCGCAAGCCCCGGGAACAGAGGAGAAGCGCTGCGCGCCTTCTCCTCTGTTCCCGGACCTCCCACCACAAGCCATCAGGACAGGTCTGGGAACAGAGGAGAAGGTGCGCTGCGCTTCCCCGCTGTCCCAGGAGATTTCCCTATGGGCTTTCGTCTTGCGAAGCAAGCCCATAGGGAAATTCGTCTTGCGAAGCCTCTAAAAATCGGAAAACCCTTTCGTCTTGCGGGTTTTTCGTTTAGCGAGGCATTCGTCTTGCGGGGTACCACTGTACTGATCTCTGCAGAAAAAAATTAGATCTACATATTTACTGAACTCTCCTCTAGAGGTCTCCACTCAGCTGCTGATCAAATCTCACCATGATCAATGTAGAATACTATCACTGACATGTGACTGGACACTTGCTTGTCTTAAAAAGCAGAAACTGCACTACATCTAAAACAAATTTATCATGGGATATCAGGAAAATTCTACCTGCTCAATTTCATATTTCTTTGAATCAGCAGGTGTCTTCCTCATATATGAGGAATGGTTGAGAGAACTGGCTATGTTTAGACTGAGATGAGATAGGATAGCCATATTCAAATATTTAAAGAGCTGTCACATGGAAGATTGAAGATATGGTCATTCCATATCAAGGGGTCCAATTTTTTACCTCATGCCATCCAATTTTCTTAATATTTTGTACACTTGTTGAATTATCATAACTAAGTTTAAATCTAAAGTTTATCTCACCCCAGGTTTTTTAGTTATGAGAGTTTGAAATTTCAAAAAAATGACAATTTTGGCCTTTATGGATTTAAAGGAAATATCATTGACTTAAGATACACTTTTGATCAACTGGGCAACATTAATTAATGTTGCAGCTGAATCAAGTTTAGAACACTAACTCAGCAGCGAATGCTTGCAGATCTCCAGCATGAAGCTGAGAAATATGGGACACTGAGCAACCTGGGCATTCTTCACACTTACCCAGTGCAGACCTCAACACAGAATTTCCAGTGAAAGGTGGTGTTCCAATTCCCAAAGAGTCCACAAAAGAATTGAGTAACTTCAGGTATTCCAAAGCATTAGAGAATTCACTACAAGCACAAGCAGAAATCAGACTTTTACCAGTAAAGACAATGCAACACATTTCTACAGTGCATCAGTTTAACGTGTGCAACGAAGTTAAATCCTTCGAAGACAGAGGTCCTCTGGCTGGGACGGAGCGATATGGGATTGAGGGGGCAACTCCCATCTCTTGCGGGGGTGCAATTAGTGCCAACACCGTCCGTTAAGAGTTTGGGTGTAATCTTCGATACCTCCCTCTCTATGGAGGCGCAGATTACAGCTATAACAAAGGCGGCATTTTAGCTAAGCAGTTGGCTCCTTATCTCTCTCCCCTGACCTAGCCACTGTGATCCACGCGACGGTCACCTCCAGACTGGATTATTGTAACTCGCTCTACGTGGGGCTGCCCTTGAGACTGACCCAGAAACTCCAGCAGGTGCAGAATGCTGCGGCAAGACTCCTTATGGGGTCCTCGCTGCGAGATCATATCCATCCGGTATTATACCAGCTGCACTGGCTCCCGGTGGAGTACAGGATCAGGTTTAAGGTGCTGGTTTTAACCTTTAAAGCCCTATACAGCCTAGGACCCTCGTACCTACGGGACCGCCTCTCCTGGTATGTCCCACAGAGAAATTTACGGTCTGCAAATAAAAACATCCTAAAGATCCCAGGACACAGAGAGGTTAGGCTGGCCTCAACTAGAGCCAGGGCCTTCTCGGCCGCGGCTCCAATCTGGTGGAACGCTCTGTCACAAGAGACTAGGGCCCTGCAGGACCTGACATCCTTCCGCAGGGCCTGCAAGACAGAGCTGTTCCACCAGGCCTTTGGTCAGGGCGCAGCCTGACCCCCTCCTCTGGCAATCGGCAATCTGCACAGAATTTTGCTTGATGGTTGCCATTAATTTGATTTTAATTTGATTTAATTAACTTTATAATGAATGTTTTTAGAATGTCGGACTATTTTGATTGTTGTTAGCTGCCCTGAGCCCAGCTTCGGCTGGGGAGGGCGGGATATAAATAAAATTTATTATTATTATTATTATTATTATTATTATTATTATTATTTAGTAAGGTAAGGTAAAGGACCTCTGGATGGGTATGTCCAGTCAAAGGTGACTATGGGGTTGCAGTGCCCATCTAGCTTGCAGGCCAAAGGAGCCGGCATTTGTTCACACACAACTTTCTGGGTCATGTTGCCAGCATGACTAAACTGCTTCTGGTGCAACAGAACACTGTGACAGAAACCAGAGCGCACAAAAACACCATTTACCTTCTACGTTTATCAACTTACACTGGCGTGCTTTTGAACTGCTAGGTTGGCAGGAGCTGGGACAGAGCAACGGGGATTCAAACTGCCAACCTTCTGATCGGCAAAGCCCAAGAGACTCAGTGGTTTAGACCACAGCACCACCCGCGTCCTGGCTGGTTAACAGCTCTTTCCTTGCTCTGCAAATTGCTATTATTCCAGTTCTGTTGGGGAACTTTCTTCTATCATGGAACTCTCAACAATCCAGCAGCATACTAAGCACTTCTCTGTGCTTCTGTCTCCAAAACAGAAATAATTTACTGATGAACCTTGTTGAGCTTGAGGGTTGCCCTTAAAACTGCATGCTCCACTAATCCATTATCTGCAATTCAGTTACAAATTGCTAGGAGAAACTGCCCTTTGCCACACAGGCAATAGGTATGGCAGATGAATTTGATTCAAGTGTCTGATTATGTCAGGAATTTTATTCTGTTGGCCCTGCCACATTGCTCCTAACCAAAGAGATGAAATCTGTGCTGCTACCCTTCATCCCACCTGCTCAGCTACAGGAACTAATAGAGCAGGCAGTCAGAACTGGCTACTCAACCTGAGAAAAAATGCCAATAGGGTAGAGACAGAACTGCAGCTTACCAGGGTTCTTCATCATCATGTCCTGCAGCCCCCTTTGGAATCTGAGGTTTCACAAGGGATTCAACAGCTCTCTCCAGGAGGTTCTCACAGAATGCCTGGTGCACCTGTGCAATGGGATCAGCTGTAGATGAAAAAACAATCAGCTTTATTTCCTTTTCTCAATAATTTACAAAAGATTCAGGGCTGCTACCCTAGTAATATGCAGGTATCCCTCAGAAATAATCAGGTGCAAACCCTTGCCATGTTATGCAGGATTTGAAATATTGTACTAGGACCTGGGATCAAAACCCCACTTGGTCATGAAGCTCACTGGGCGATCTTAGCCCAGTCACCAGCTCTCAGCTTAACAAACCTCACAGGGTTGCTGTGAGAATACCACCTTGAGCTGGTTGGAGTGATGCTGGGATATAAATGAAATAATAAATAAAAATCTGTTTGGGCAGAGAAATTCTTTGCAGAAAGAACTCCATCATTTGGGAAACTGTCCATTTGATTGCTCAGTCCATGTTCCACAATTTCTTACAGCACCAAAAGCTTTCAAGCAAGAATTGGCTAGAGAGAGTGAGCATACACATGCATAATGCTGTCTTATAACTTGGATGGCAGACGTAGGGCAATGCATTCACAAGCCTGCTGGCTCTCACCTGGGTTCCTCTGAGTGCAATATAGACTCTCCTTGGCAGCTGTTTTCACTGTCCAATTCCGCTCCACAAAAAACTTTTGCCCCAATGGGTGACACAACCAACGCAAAGAGTCAGGGATGGCACTGCGCTCAGAACTACACAAGCTCTGGGCTTGACTTAAGAAATAACTCTGGTAAGAAAGAAAAAGTGCCATGGTAAGATATGGTGCTGAAGGAAAGCTATGCATGCCTCTGACTCAAGGATAGTAATTCTGCGTAAAGTTAATTATACAGATCAACTTAAAAGCCACTTCCATTCACATGCAAAACCATGGTCAGTTGAAATATGCCACAATACATACTTGTTCTAAATTCTGATGGGAGGCTTGAAAGAGATTTACTCACCGCCAGGAAGCCCAGCTTGCCACCACAGCGGGTCTTCAAGCCAACTGCAGCAGTCAGGTGAATTTCTGCCAGTGTGCTTGGTGAAATCTTCTCTTCTGCACATTCAGCCAGATTCACAGCACACAGAGCCATGTGCAATCCTGAGTAGGCAGAGCTGGATGGTAGCTTACCTGCATCAGAAACCAGAGGAGAAAGAGTCATCTCCTTTAAAATAATTTACAGAGGGGCAGCCAAGATAGACTCTTGCACCAAAGACAGTCATGCAGAAGCTCAAATATAGCTGTATGAATGGGTATTTCCTTGGAATAATTTCTTCCTGAATCTTCTAACATTCAGCATCACTGGACAAATTAATTATGTCACAAGATTTTGTGGGCTGCAGTCTACTTCACCAGATGCATCGAGTACTATCCTGAGTTGCAGGGACATATACACATCACTTTTTTAAACTCACGCCATGTGAGACTTTCCCAGTACAATTAGTGCCTCACATGGTTTGATTTGGGAAAGCCCTTTGAGCTACTGAGATTCTGTTGCATTCAAACCTTAAAGCGTAGTAATGTCCTGCCTTGCAAAGCCTTCGTTTATATCTATCTACAATCTTATCTTTGTAAGATTGTAACTTTGGGAATCAACCAAACAAAACCCAAGCTATGTATATCAAGCTCTTTCATACAGGCCAAATAGAAGACCATCCTTCATTTCACTACCTGAATCATCTCAGCTGGTTATACTATTGATTTTCAGGTAAGAATAAATCTAACAAGACACACACCTGCAAAAGAAAAGTACGGCACTACTTGTATCATCAAGCTAGAATGAAGCACTCTCTGCAGACTTAGGTTTTTTAAATGTTCTATTGAACAGTCAAAGTACGTAGATAAGTCTAGGTCATCACACTAGACACTCACAGAAGCGTCCACCTTCTCCCTTTTCCACTTACCTGTGATATGGAGCTGATGGAGCTTATGATAGGCTAGAGCTGCATCACGCGCACTAGTTTTGGCTTCATCCTCAAAACCTGCAGGGGCTTCTGTTGCTCGTCTCTGCCGAGATGTCCTCTTTAGCAACCAACGCACCAACCCCAACTTTTGGAGACTGTAGCGGATAACGTTCCAGGACAGGCCGCAGGCCAAGTCTAAACGAGAGGCAGGCAGTGCTCGGCCCAGGGCAGACAGACAAGTCTGTAAGTTTGATGCAGCAGCAGTAAAATCTTCCTGCAAGCACAGAACAAAAACAGAAAAGCTGAAGATGCAGCAAAGACTTGTGAGAGTCCAGTGACTTCAGAGACTCTCGGAGATGGCATGTGGAAACTTGCACAATCAAGCATAATCACCTTTAGCCTAGCCTTGAAAGATGCAGCATCTTTGACCCTAAGGCTGCATTTTTGATTTCTTCTATTTATCTCCACTTAAATCTATTTCTACATTTATTTATGTAACAAAATGTATATACTGCTTGATGAGAAAATCTCTAAGTGGTTTACAAAAAAGCAGTTTTACCAACCAACAGTAATTTTCAAACTGCCTTTTTTCTCTATCTTATTCAAATATGCTAACAGTATATAAAGAAAGATTGAAATAGTAACTGATGTTCTGAAATACTTTTATTGGAGATATTATCTTTAACCTTCAGGCATATTAAGTAAATCTGTGACAATCTGGCCACTTTTACAATTCGATTCAGTTGCAAAATTCAAATTTACCCCAGGCCCATGGCAAAAACAAAGATTGCTTTACACAGCTAAAGCTGAGGGTGGCAATTCAAAAATATTTTATTGGGGCTTTCTAAAAGGAGAAAAGTGGAGAACTAAAGAGCTCCAGAGTCTTTTACCAAACAAGTGTTTCAGAAGTAGGACAAATGCTTGCAATCCCAAGTGCAAAAGCCTCTCTGGAGAGTTGATCTGCAATTTGAGGTGCTGCCTGTTCAGTACTGCTCCAGAAGACAAACTGGGAAAGAAACAAAATTTGTTTTCTGAAGCAGGAACTTGATCTACCTTAGCTAAATCCAGGTCTGCTTGTTTCCGATGCCGCCAGAAAGTAACCGATGACCGGGAGTGCAGTCGGGTCACTGGCTCTCCATGTACTAGGAGTTTTATGAACACACTCAGGACAATAACACCGTTCACAAGCCACAGGATCAGAGTGGGCATCATCCAGCCAAACCAGCCACCAGAGCCTACAGGGAAAGATGCCAGAAGAGATATGAGGAGGGGGGGCAGAGGGGAGATGGATGAGGTAACATCTTAAAAAAACAAGCCTGGGATGAATTTTAATTACGTATGTAAAAAAGCTGTGCATATAAGGAGGTGGGGGCTCAGGCAATTTGGCTCTGAGTCCCAAATAAACTGCATTGCTAAAGTTGGGATTACAGATTTGTGTATGTGTTACATATATATAATATGTTCAAAAAGTGCAACACAATCTGTATTGGCTCTACAAATGCTGAATTTTACTCAAACAGATAAAAAATATTTCACAGTGTAGCTAGACTATGTGATTCTTGTAAGAATCCCATTTAATAACTCCCATGTCTTGCAGAAGTGCTATGAGGATGGGGTTTTTAAATGACCTAGTAAAACTCGGAACAGATGAAGGCTGCAACCCTCTACAAGTTTTCTTAGGAGTGAGTTTCCCTGAACACAATGCAGCTTACTTCCCAGTAAACATGCAAAGGAGTGCCCTGCACAATTCTTTAGAGAATATCCTAGCAAGGGTCAAATCATTACTTTAATATACAGTGCAGGGGTTTCTCAATATCCAAGCAATGAAGTGGCCAGTGTTGATATATGAATGAATGGTGTACATGTTTTGATGTAAGCAACCTCGAATATGGTTTAACTATGGAAAGAGGGCATACAAATAAATAACATCCTTTAATAATAATAAAAAATAAAGCAAATAAATAACACCCCATTTCCCCAGTGTCACTACTCCTGTCTGTGTTCAGCTACTGTATATGTGATCCTTAAAGAACTCCAAACACCAAACAAGCAGCATGGAAATGTATACTGAAGTATAGTGAAAGACTGGATTTCTGACGGTACCTGAGTTTATTGACAGAATACTCCTCCCTGAGCTATGATGTACAGAACCATCAGAGTCAGCTGTCCTTTGGCCCTCCAGGAGGGATGTTAGAGGGTTGAAGGAGAGACAGAGGAACGTAAGAGCACAAAGCAGCATCCGTGAGCGGTCAACCATTCCAAGAGCGGCAGCTGGAGAGTCAGGTTCATCTTTAACCTAGACCACAGTGGTAGAGGATGATTTGTTAGAGAGCAAGAGAATTGTGAAACAGTGAAGATAATTCATTGTTCCCGGCCTACTGAGAATGTATAAGAATTGACTGATGTTCACAATTTATCATAGCATTTCAAACATGGCTATAAGAACAATCTCCACTACCATGCCTCAACACTTTTCTGAGTGTGCTGAATCAGAAGGAGAGCTAATGTTATTGTTGCAGCCAAACCAATTTATATCTATAAATTGTGCACAACATTTCTTCTTCCTATTCTCACTCCTGTTAAGAGGCAAGAGAAGAAGGGGAGACAGCAGAGTTACGTCAACCTTTTTATTAATAGGTCTGTGGGACGAAATATTGTATTATTAGGCTTTGGGTACAGGACTTCACACAATGACAGCCTAAACTAGCCAGGGATGATAATGTCATGGAACTGATTAACCTTTGTATTCCGAGTCACATCTTCCTTTAGAACCACAGTTCATTACAGCCTTTAATGCCCAGCACAGGATCTCCAGCTCATCCAGCACACATCGCCCATGTCTATAAGTAACATGCAACCCTTATGCACGCTTCCCTCTGTAGAATGTTCTAGGATGTTGACTACCTTTGCATCATCCAGCAGTGGGCTTCCTGGTTCTGAATCAATAGAATAAGGGGAAAAGCCTGCTTGTGACCCTGTGTCAGAGGCTGGAGGAGACATCAACAGAGCATTTTGGTTGAAGTCATCCATCTTCAGATCCACATCATTGTCCACCAAACTGCTTAGGTCAAACCCCTTCAACAGCTCTGAAAAGACCAGAGATTGCAAAGATTAACTACTCACATTCACAATTCAGTTTTCTTTCCCCTTCATGCTTTCCCTTGCTTCCCTTGTTTCACATGCCCACACAAAACTGGGCAACCAATAATATACGTCATCAAACAGTGAAGTAGGAGGTCAAAGGCACTTAAATAGCCACCCAACACTTACTGTTTTTCTGATTAGCAAGCTTCAGGACCATGTTCTCTTGACGCAGCTTATGGTTAACCTGCTGCAGGTACTTAATGTAGTCAATGGCCTTTCTCAGTACCCCGGACTTGTGCATCTGCAAATAATGTGCATACATTAAAGAGAATGAATAATAATTTTTAGCAATAATGCCACCAAATGTTCTTTCAGCACAAGCTTCTACACTAAAGCTGCAATGATTTTCCCAATCACAGGGAAGAATACGAAATGGATTCAAATCAAATACATTTAGCATCCATCATGGGAGACCAAAACTCCATATTGACTGAGCAAAGACTGATAATCTCAGTAAGAAGCAGAGAATCTAGGCGTATTAATACCACAAGATATCTTTTTATCTCTTTGCTTTACGTCTCGCCATGTTTAGTGCACATATAATTACGTATTTTTCTAACTTTCAAATAAAGAAAATAAAAAAGGAGCAGAGAATTATGACTTGCAAGCATATTGTCAACTGGGTTTGAAATCACAGCAGTCTTTTTGCTTTCAGCCACAAAGCAACTCATACCTTTGCATCTGTTCCCATGACTAGGTCCTTCAATTCTATGATCTTGTCATTTATAGATGATCGGTACCGCTTCTCAATTATATTATGGGTTGTCCGCCTCTCTCCTTCCTTTGGTGGTTCTGGTTGCTTGGCACCACCAGGCACCTGCTTGATGGGCATCTTCTCCTGCCCTCCCATCACCATGGGCATGGTGGTCAAGATGGTACCATTGCCACCAACTAAAGTCTTTTAAAAAAGGCAACAGTGACCCAGTTAAAGATTAATTTGTTCGGTGGGTTGGGAGCTGGGGCCTCTGTGTTATGGTGGTTCTGCTCCTACTTGCAGTTGCTACATGAGATCAGCTCTGGGGGACTCCTGCTTGGCCCCTTGGCATTTGCTCCATTCTGTCCCTCATGCTGTTCACTATCTATAGGAAGTCCTTGGGAGCTGTCATCCAGGGATTTGGGACATAGCGCTGTCAGTATGCCGACGAGAGTCAGTTCATACCTCTCCATCCATCTGAATCAGAAGAGATTATGCAGATGCTGGATAGATGCTCGAAGGTACTATGGGTGTTTCCCAAGCCCAGGAAATAGGGAGGCATGTTCTGGATGGGTATGCAGCTAAGGGGTTCTCCTCAGTTTGAAGCTGCCACTAGAGATACAGGTGATCTGAGTGTGCTCTCAGTGGTGAGGGTAGCCTATGCCCAATTCCAGCCTCTTTTCCAGCAGCAGCCATTACTGGGCCAGGATAGCCTAAGCTCAAGTATCCATGCTCTAATAACTTCATGACCTGATTACAGCAAAGAACTCCACATGGAGTTACTCTTGAAGAAGCTGCAGCTGGTACAGGCTGTAGATGCTCAGTTGTTAAATGATCCCTTCTGCCTGTCCCACTTAACAGATTCTTAAAACACTATACTGGCTGGCAAGAGGGAGAAGGTGAATATTTGGGAAGGGAAGGCAAGATGCCCTACAGTACCTGCAAGGCTGTTGTCTGAATAGGCGTGGTCAGTGCTGTGAGGGCTGGATTCTGAACAGCAGTCATAACAGGGCTGCCATCAGCTTTCAATGTTGTTAAGACAAGAGAATCAGTCTTGATTATCTGTGGGTGGACAAGGACCTAGAAGGAGAAGAGGCAGTTAAAAGGTTTAGCACAACAACACAAAGCTCAATACTGCAAACACTGTAGAAGCTGGGCAACCTTTTTTATAACAGATTTCTGTGTGACTGCATGGAGTTCAAGTATGCAAGTTTCAATATATATCTGCTTCATTGTATGTTCACCCCATGCTCCTTCCTGCAAATGCCAAAGGCCAATAAGAACTTGCCAATGAGCCAACCTGTTGGGTGTATGGAAGACCCTCAATATAGTAAGAACTGTGCTGTCAGTATGGAGTCTGACTGCCATTGAAGACAATTTGATCCTTCTGTACGAAGAACAAGTTCTAACCCTTTGTAGTTATGAAGGCAGTTCTAAAACGTGTTGTATCCAACTGCTAAAAGCTTTCAGCAGTGAAACAAGGAATACTCTATTGTCTCTGATTATTTTCCCTTCCATTTAACAATACTGCAGCTGGCACGTTACTAAATATTAAACCCCAATATGCTATATATAGAGCTCTACATCTAGTAGTTTGGAAAAGTTGGCTCTCCCTCTCCCCCACAAAAAACCCTCTCCAAAGTCTCTACTGACCTTCTTCTGATATTGGACCACTGCTGTCCATTTTTCTATGGCTAAGCTATCCTACAATTCAGTCCATCAGTGATCTAAGCCTAAGGAGTTTCACTGCTGAGGATAGTTTGGTCTCCAAGCAGTGAAGCCACTTCCTGACTTTGAACAGAAAGGAAACCGCCTGCATAAATATACATGCCTCGGAAGTGCAGAAAACTAAACCTTCCCGCATAATATTACAACATAAAACTACTCACTGGAACCTGCTGGACTTGAGGGGCAGCTACTGCCTGGACTGTGGCCGGGGTCAGTGTCTGGATGGTACCGTTGGCTGTTTGTGTCAATACCCTCTGAGCTTGCATCGTTTGCACTTGCTGCTGGATAGTGACTGGTTGAACTTGCGAGGAAGTCACCAGGCTCTGAACCTGGGGTTGCAGCACTAAAAGGAAAACAAGAGCAATCTGAGAAACTGCCTGAATGAGTTGGTGCTGACAGAAGACTACAGCTTTCATTATGATGCTAAGCTGCAATCCATGACCTCCCTTGAATGGCAAGGGTTCAGTCAGCTATTGGGGGGGGGGCGGTGTTTCTCCTGGTTCCTCTTCCTAGCAGCATTAGACCCAGCAAAGCAATCTATGAAGAATTTAAAAACCAGCAGCAAATATTGAAGTCAGGAAAACAGATAAAGAAAGATTGTCTAGCTCTAGTCACATTTATCTGGACCAGCTCCTTTAAAAAAAACACACCAAAAAACCAACAATGCTGCCATGAGCAAGTCCACATGGCTCAGAGGGGCTTCTCATATTCCTAGCATGTGTTTCCTAGTTGTTGTTTTTTCTAAGGGTAGTTTCGGAGAATGTCTCTTGTACAAATCTTCCCATGTATTGGGGAGATGAGACATACCCCTACTAAGAGCACAGGCATTGCCTCAAATAAGGCTGGGTGGCACAAGAGTCAGAGCATTTCTGAGGGTGTTGGTCTTCGAGAAGTTAGTCAAGATGATTCTGTTACAGAGACTAGACAGAAGTCTTACTGAATATTTTCTCACTGAAGATTTCTACAGCTGCTAGGAGTTTAAGTTTTTCTATTCTAGTTTGTGATGTTTTAAACATACAGTATAGACTTAGATCAAGACTTGCCCTTCTGTGGCTACTGCTGAGAAAGGGGGAGGAAGGGAGAGTCAATATTTGCAGTTCCCCTTCCCCCCCTGTACCCCTCAGTACAACATCCTCTGCTGTACCAGGGGTCCCCCAACCCTCCAGAGAATATTTCCATGGGACACAAGGGTCTGCAAGGGAAAGGAGGAACTGGCAAAAATTACCGCAGAGCATCCCTCAAGCTGAGTTCTACATATGTAAAGTCTGAACCCAACACATCATAAAAAAAGGTTAGAAAACAGTAGATTCTATACAATCAGAAGAAGTGGAAGATTCAGATACTGGAGAGGCAGCCAAGAATGAGAAACTGTCATGCTCTTACAGAAGAGTACAGGAACCATTCATAAGCCTTCTTCAGTTGTTATAAATCTAGAAAAGTAAACAGTGGGGGCAAGAGCCCTACTTCCACCTTGACCCCCTCATTGTTTGTCAACCTCCAACTCACAAGTGACTATAAAAGGCACAGAGGCCTTTTATACTCATGGACCCTGAAATATGAGTGGGGCCCTGATGGTGGAGCTAGCCCACTTGCCCCTACTGCCTCCCCCATATGTTAGCTTTCTTTATTTCCAACACCTGAGGAGAGTTAAGAATGATAAAGGTGCATGACGTATTGTGTAACTGTACGTTACTTTGCAGTGATACCATTCACAGAGTTACTTTTGAGTGCTACCTATGTTTTACTGCACAATATTTAAGGCCACTCCCCAACTCCCTGGTCGTGGTCTCCAATGCCCTTCTTCACCCCAAATGCCAAGTTTCTCCAATTTGCCTGTGAGATCCTAGAAAACATGCACCTATTTAGAAACATTTCAAGCAATATTAGAAACTTCTCACAGATATGAAATCAGGAATGGTGGCTGTAAATGCTGCTCTGATACCTTTTGCTCTGCTGGAAGATTAGGGCAAGACGTTTAAGAGCTACCTACAGTGTAGGACTACGTGTTACTACAAAGACTTTGCAAGTTACCTTGAAAACTTGTGGCTGCGTTTTGGTATATTACAGGCTGCTGAATGAACCGGGTCTGGGGAGCAGAGCTGAAAGCTGGAGTAATCATCACAGTCTGCTGCTGGAGCTGAGGCTGAACCTGGGGACGAGGCTGAAGAGCAGGTGCCGTCCGCTGTGGAACAGGTGTTGCGGCAGTTGTCTGAGACACCTTCACTTGCACGGTCTGAAGCTGGGGAGAAGCTGCACTAGGAGAGAAGGTCTGTAGCTGCCCCTGGCTGTAGGGCCTCTGTGACGTGGGATCTGAGGTTCCACCACTATTACATACGCTGTTGCTTTGGAAGGAGCCACACAACTGTTCAGAAAACAGATCTGGAAATTCTCCGGCTTGGTTGCTGACGAACTGGAGCATCTCTATAAAAAAAAAATTAAAAGAAAGGAAAACAGTGAAATTATATGATGGACCATTGATACCATGGAGACTGATGAAAGGGTCACCAGATGTAATCCCAGGAACAAAATATATACTATGCACATTTGTCTGTTTGAGATATGAACAAATTCCCTCCTGAATAAATCAGATCCTTGCCTTGGGGATACTTTTACATCGAGTCTTATAACTGGACACCCAAATGATGCATATTTTGTTAGCTTCGGTTGTCGGCCAGCATCAGCTGTTCCTGACCAAACCAAACCTTCCCATAATGCTTTGGTCACATTCCACTTATTACTGCAATGAACTATATGTTTGGCTGTATTTTACAATTGCTTGCAAACTACAATGGGCTCAAAACATGGCTGTCTGGTTGTTAACTTGGACTTGAAAATTTGATCATATTCAATCCAGTGCTTAAAAGCAGATGCCAAAACTACAAGCGACATCAATAGAGGTGGCTAGATAAGGATGCCCTACCCTGCATGAGTGCTAAAAAACCAATTTCCTCCAAGATAGCCCAGAGATTTAGAAGCAGAGTAACAGCTGGAACATCTGAAGGCAAAACCTTAGGACATCTTTGCTCTTCCATTGTAACTCCTTGTATTTTAAATATATAGCTTTAAGCTTTAGTTAGCAGGCAGAGCATAAATATGCCAAATAACCAAGACCTCCACCAGCTACCATCCAAACACAATGCAAAGTGCTTATTTTAAACTTTATAGCCTTAAGCAGTCTGAGGTCACAGTACTTGAAGCTCCTATAACATGGGTAGGCAAACTAAGGCCCGGGGGCTGGATCTGGCCCAATTGCCTTCTAAATCTGGCCTGCAGATGGTCTGGGAATCAGCGTGTTTTTACATGAGTAAAATGTGTCCTTTTATTTAAAATGCATCTCTGGGTTATTTGTGGGCCATAGGAATTTGTTCTTTTTCCCCCCTTCAAAATATTGTCCGGCCCCCCACAAGGTCTGAGGGACAGTGGACCAGCCCCCTGCTGAAAAAGTTTGCTGACCCCTGTCCTATATGAACAGAGGCCCCACTTCAGGATTCCCCCTAAATAAGTGACATGGCTGGTTACTTGAAACAGAGCCTGGTCTGCTGTGACATACCCATACTTTGAAACTCTTCAATCACTCCAACCTACATTTACCACGTGGTTTTTACATTTACATTTTTGCCTTTTACTTTCAGTCAAGCATTTGCCACCCAGTGATTAAGATTTGAAATATATTGGGTTGTGTCCAGCTATGTTTTACTCAGAGTCAACCCACTTAAACTAATGGACTGAACTCAGCCATTGATGCTAATTTCCATGGGTCTACTCTGAGTAGGACTAGTACTGTATGCAACCCATAATGTTATTTGTTCTTGATGCCTGGGTGGTATTTCTTGTTTTTGCTGCTATTTGAAATCTTCAGTTGTTTGCATTCTATGTGTGCTGCTTTTATAACATTGTTTGTTTTGTTATCTTGTATGCTGCCTTGAGAACCTGACAGGGTCAATAAATATAAATATTTTAAAGACAAATATTTGGTCAACATGCCAGAGCCCATATAACAGTGGTATTTTAGCCTCAATAAAGCATAAGCCAGAGATATATTAAGTAATGATCTTACACATATGTATTTGGAAATAAGCCTCACGGAACTAAGGACTAAACTACATGCTCCACAGGACATCAGTATTTTCTTTTTTAATGAAATGCAGTCATGATGGGGGGAGCACTGCTACAATTTGATCACAGCAGTTGAACCCTTTCCCCCTCCCACCCCACCTTCTGCTATAAAACACACACACACACACATCTGGTATTATTTGCTTCATGGTGGGAAGAAAAATGTGGTTAACTGTATTCTTTTCCTTCAATGGGCAGAACGGTAGCTTGCGGGGCAGGAGGGGGGAGGTGTTTATTGGGACAACAGCACTAGGGGTGGGCTCAACATCTGCTCTCCCCAGGAGGGCTGATCAACTGAGATTTCAATACAAAATAAGAATGTTGGACAACCCTGTGTAGCATGTGTAACAGAAGGGAAAAGCTAGGAGAGGGGTGTTTATGCCCTTCCTTGTGCAACTGCTGCACAACAGCCTTGTAAGGTAAGCCAGTTGCATCTTAACTATCCAGTAATCACTGCTGCCACCACTCCTTCTTGTCACAGCCCCCAGATGGGACAGAATTCTGGGGTGCTCAAGAAAATATCCAGGATTCTAAGACAAGGTGTCCTGTGCCTCCCAGCAATATCTCTTCTGGACAATGGGACTAGTATCAAACTGATTCTCTCAGCCTTAGATTTGGCATAGGCTGCTCTTTTCCCCATGAAACCAACTCTTTCACCCTAGCAGCATATGAACTACAGCCAGGCAAGTTTACCCGAACATGAAGATCAGCAAACACACACTTCAGACCCCAACAGCCAAATTAGATTTTAATTACGAGTAGAAGGGAGAGAACTTACTTACAAACCAACATAGCATAGGGGGTTAGTTGCAGCATTTTCTGATGGTGAATGATAGACCCGAAGGGAAGGGACAAAGGAACAATTTCCCCAGACCCTTTTACGGGGGTTTTCCCACCCATTTGTGTTTGAATGACATTCAGCTCTTTTCAAAGAATGTCACTTTTGGCAGATAACTAGTGTGGCACTTGGATACAGTTGGAGAGATACAGACACCCGCTGGGGTAGGCAAAGATGGTTACAGTGGTACCTCTGGATGCGAACGGGATCCGTTCCGAAGCCCCGTTCGCATCCTGAGTAGAGCGTAACACGCGACTGTGCGTCTGCGCATGCGCGGGTCGCGTTTCGCCGCTTCCGCTCATGCACGTGACGTCATTTTGAGCGTCTGCGCATGTGCGAGCGGCGAAACCTGGAAGTAACACGTTCTGTTACTTCCAGGTCGCTGTGGAGCGTAACCTGAAAACGCTCAACCTGAAGCATATTTAACCCAAGGTATGACTATATTGTATATATATGGTATGGCCATGTGACCCGGAAGTGTCTCCAGACAGTGCTGGCCCCTGGCCTCTTGAGTGAGATGGGCGCACAACCCTAGAGTCTGTCAAGACTGGCCCGTACGGGCAGGGGTACCTTTACCTTTACCTTTATGACTATATTGCTTGGAGGAAATGGCCACTGGGATTGCTCACTCTTAGTGCCAGACAGAACCTTTCCTAGGCTTCTGGATTCGGAACTGGGTTAGAGTATGTGCTTGCCTTGCTCAGGCTTAATGGATGATAGGATAGCAATGTTTTTCTGCACAGCATGCAGTTTGATCCTGAACAACAGCACCAAGTAAACAAGCACAGGATCAGGCTGCAAAGGTTCCACAGGAGGAGTCTGCTTCAGCATCTCCTTGCATCACTATCATTTATAACCAGTTCTACCATTCATATCAGCAATGTGGATTAGCTAAATAAATTAGCTAAGGAAACAAAAATCAGCAATCTGGATAGAAACTCGGTAAGCACGTTCGGTTACCAGCTGCAAAGTGGTGGCATTAAAACATTAAGAATGGAAGCAGTAATAAAGCTGCAACTTTGATAATGGCTACATGTACTTACTAGCATTCCCTCCTACAGATTTAACAAGTGCCCAGAACATGTACACATGGCCTAATGGCACACAATGTATGTGCAACCTTTCAGACATTACTAGTGCAAGTTTAGAGCAAGGCACATTCAAAGTATGCTGGTAATTTCATTCTAAGATTTAAGAGAGGAAGCCACGGTTCACTACAATAACAGCAGAGTTCTGTTTATTAGGGGGAACCCGCTACTATGTTTGTTTGTTTTTAGAACCATAGAGCTGTAGAGTTGGAAGGGACCCTGGAAGCCATCTAGTCCAACCCCCTGAAATGCGGGAATTTCAACAAGCAATCCCCCATCCAATTTGAAACCTTACTGGACCCTGCTTAGCTTTGCAGATGTGCTAGCAGTTTTATTACTGCAGCAATAGGACAATTTAGGTGACAGTTTAGGTGACCCCAATAAAGGATATTGTCATACTGTCACTTTTAGATTGTTTCTAAAGGACCAACATAGCTACCTGCATTCTTTCACTAAGTAGTAAACTGTGACTTTGTGCTGGAGTGTCCTTCTGCCAAGCTGCATATACCAATTGTGTTTCATAGTCAATTGAATCAGCTGAAGTGGAAGTTGCCATTACAATACAAGTCATCAGTGGACACATTTGTCTTGGCTGACAAGTGTTGCTTTCAAGGAAAGCTGTAGCCAGGATAACATTACAGCTGCTGTTATGTTATTGAAGTAGCTGAGAACAGGTCCTTAGAACAGAACAGTCAGACAACGTGTGCAATTTATGAGCAGGCTGCTGTTCTCCCAGCACATACAGGCATGTCAGCCAAAGTGTACCCACACCACATCTTGGCAACCACATACTGTTAATGAGGGCACCATTCTTAACATGTGCAGAGATCTCTTCCCAGATTGGGAGCAGGTCAGCCTGCCAAAAATTGTGGATCGAATGTTCCTAATTGTACAGAGATCACAAAAACTAGACAAAGCTACCTGCCAATTTCCCAAGTAGGAAGCTTAGAAAGCAGATCTTGTAACTGCAGAAGTCACTAAGTAATCAAACCCAGAAGCCTGTGGAAGCAACTAAGAACAACCATTCAGAGTACAAATAAGCAGTTCTGTTCATGCCACAACCTCCTTTGTTTCCTCTTTATTCTGCAAGCTCGGCCAAGTTAGTAGCAAATGAGCCACGCCCAGGATCTGGGCTATTGTGGGTAGTCTAATTGATCAGCGCTGGGAAACAGGACTTGATACATATGGAAACCTGTTAGGCAAGGAATATTGGTCAGACTTACAAAGAGGAAAGGGAAGACTATTCACCTGACAGAGTTCAGCTGAGAGGTGAAGGGATAAAAGGAAAGGAAAGGGAGCCAAGACCACATATACCCACCCACATGCTTTAGTGATTCTTTTGGAGAACAAAAAGGGTGCAAGTTTAGGAAAGTGAAGAT